TAGTAGGGCCTAGCAGCGTGTTGTTACCCAGGTCAAGTCCCGAATGGATGTTTAAGAACTGTATGTTATCGAACCTCGTTTGCAAGAGGTCATCGTCCATGCCGTTAGGCCAAAATCCAATGCCTTCACAAGCATCCTGTGTGCAGCAAAGCCCCCTGGTAGTTAAGCAGAGTCAAAGCTAGGATTTGGTAGGGCAGGGTAGCAGGTCGACCGCTACCCCAACAGCCCGAACCCTGAATCTTATAGTAACCCTCGTAGTACTTGAGAGTACCCCTTCCAGTTCAATATCTTAGCCCTTGTCATAACTGTAACCCTTGCCTTTTGGTTCATCGCTGGCAGCTGCTAAGTGTTTAGCCACAACGACGGCCGCCGAAGGTGGCCGGTGTTTCGTCGACTGCAGGGCTGTTTTGGGGATGTAAAAAGTCACCGATGCGATTTCGTCAGCTGCGGATCTTCCGGCCCTTGATCGGCCTGGCTGACACGACGTAGAAGTGGTTTCGGAATGCAGAAGCAGGCTGTGTCGGGCCGTAGTTTAGCGTGTTCAAGCCCTCAAGTTTTGTGGCGAAGTGCTGTTAGCTGAGGCCGCGTCATGAACCGCGTTAGCCGCGTCGCTTCTCATGTCAACGCGAGCCTGTCGAGCCCCGACTCACAGCTGGCTGCGACACCAACCGCGGGCTTCTGCACTGCAGAGAAAGCGGATGACGACGTGGTGATTTGCTGTGCCGTCCGGACACCGCTCACCAAGGCAAAGCGGGGATCCTTCGCCCACACCTCCCCGGAGGAGCTTCTGTCTTTCGTTTTCAGGGAAGTCGTGAACAGGACGAAAGTGAACCCGAAAGACATTGGTGACATCCAGGTCGGTAACGTACTTCAGCCAGGCGCTAGTGGACTGACCTCCCGGATGGGCCAGTTCATGGCCGAGCTGCCCTACGATATCCCCTTGAGCACCGTCAACCGCCAGTGCAGCAGCAGTCTCCAGGCTACTGCCTACATCGCAGCAGCCATCAAGAGCGGCATCATCGATGTTGGCCTTGCAGGTGGTGTGGAGAACATGAGCATGTTCCCCATGATGGCCACCATCGACATCACAAAGCTGTCTGCAAAGATCTTGGACTACGAGAATGCAGAGGCTTGCTTGCTGCCCATGGGTTTGACATCTGAGAACGTGGCGGCCGCCTATGGCATCACGAGGGAACGCCAGGATCAAATGGCGGAAGACTCCCACAAGAAGGCGCTGGCTGCTCAGAAGAACGGCTGGTTCAAGGAGGAGATCGTCCCCGTGACCATCGAAGTGAAGAACAAGGATGGCAGCGTGACGAAGAAGACGATCACGGAGGACGAAGGCCCTCGTGGCGGCACCACGAAGGAGAGCCTGTCCAAACTGAAGCCTGCTTTCCGAGCAGGTGGCAGCACCACTGCAGGCAACTCTAGCCAGGTGACCGACGGTGCCGCTATGGTTCTGCTGGCACGCCGATCAGCTGCCAAGAAGATGGGCTTGCCCATCATTGCGCGATTCCGCAGCTTCGCCTGTGTCGGCGTTGACCCGAAGCTGATGGGTATCGGCCCTGCCTTCGCCATCCCCGTCGCTCTCGAGAAGGCTGGCGTGACCGTCGACGACATCGACATCTACGAGATCAACGAGGCCTTTGCATCCCAGGCAACCATGTCGGTCGACCACCTGAAGATCCCCATGGAGAAGCTGAACCCAAAGGGAGGCGCCATCGCGCTTGGCCACCCGCTGGGTGCCACAGGTGCCAGGCAGATTGCAACCCTGCTGCCCGAGTTGAAGCGCACGGGCAAGAAGTTGGGCGTCACTTCTATGTGCTTGGGAAGTGGCATGGGCGCGGCATCAGTGATTGAGGCAGAGTGAGAGAAGTTGTCCAGAAAGTTTTGCGCGGAGGGGCCCTGCGAATTGCCAGGGGAGCTTCGTGCGGTGGTTTCATTTGGACGGCCAGTTTCAATTGCCAATGGTGGCTCGAATCATTGTCATCTTCCACTCAGCATGCCTCCTTGCCGTGCACTTTTCACCCGTCTTACCGAGAGCTAAGTCGGAAATTCAGCATCATGCATCATGACTTTGGGGTGCTTTGTCATAATTTTTAATTTTTGGTTATTATAATCCCTAAGAAACAGCTACAATTCTAATTTTGCTAGGGTTCTAAGTTCAGTATAGATGAGATGACCCGGGAATAAGCAACACTCCCAAAGAACCTCACACAGCGCCCTCCGCAAATACATTACCGGCTGCCTTCGTTTACACTTGCTGTTTGTCTACATCCCCGTAAGTACGAACAATGACAATGACGCGGTGAGCATATTTGTGACAGTGACAGCGCTGTGCTTGTTTCTCTTGTGACGTGATGCCGTGATGCCATTGCTGAACTGCTAGCAAATTCACAATGTTTCTAGATCTGTTTTATTCGGCCAGAGGACCGGAGCAATGAAGACTGCACTGGAGTGCCATTGTTTCAAGCCCTCGAACTTGGTAGCGAAGTGCTCTTGCAGCCATGAACCGCGTTAGCCGCGTCGCTTCTCATGTCAACGCGAGCCTGTCGAGCCCCGACTCACAGCTGGCTGCGACACCAACCGCGGGCTTCTGCACTGCAGAGAAAGCGGATGACGACGTGGTGATTTGCTGTGCCGTCCGGACACCGCTCACCAAGGCAAAGCGGGGATCCTTCGCCCACACCTCCCCGGAGGAGCTTCTGTCTTTCGTTTTCAGGGAAGTCGTGAACAGGACGAAAGTGAACCCGAAAGACATTGGTGACATCCAGGTCGGTAACGTACTTCAGCCAGGCGCTAGTGGACTGACCTCCCGGATGGGCCAGTTCATGGCCGAGCTGCCCTACGATATCCCGTTGAGCACCGTCAACCGCCAGTGCAGCAGCAGTCTCCAGGCTACTGCCTACATCGCAGCAGCCATCAAGAGCGGCATCATCGATGTTGGCCTTGCAGGTGGTGTGGAGAACATGAGCATGTTCCCCATGATGGCCACCATCGACATCACAAAGCTGTCTGCAAAGATCTTGGACTACGAGAATGCAGAGGCTTGCTTGCTGCCCATGGGTTTGACATCTGAGAACGTGGCGGCCGCCTATGGCATCACGAGGGAACGCCAGGATCAAATGGCGGAAGACTCCCACAAGAAGGCGCTGGCTGCTCAGAAGAACGGCTGGTTCAAGGAGGAGATCGTCCCCGTGACCATCGAAGTGAAGAACAAGGATGGCAGCGTGACGAAGAAGACGATCACGGAGGACGAAGGCCCTCGTGGCGGCACCACGAAGGAGAGCCTGTCCAAACTGAAGCCTGCTTTCCGAGCAGGTGGCAGCACCACTGCAGGCAACTCTAGCCAGGTGACCGACGGTGCCGCTATGGTTCTGCTGGCACGCCGATCAGCTGCCAAGAAGATGGGCTTGCCCATCATTGCGCGATTCCGCAGCTTCGCCTGTGTCGGCGTTGACCCGAAGCTGATGGGTATCGGCCCTGCCTTCGCCATCCCCGTCGCTCTCGAGAAGGCTGGCGTGACCGTCGACGACATCGACATCTACGAGATCAACGAGGCCTTTGCATCCCAGGCAACCATGTCGGTCGACCACCTGAAGATCCCCATGGAGAAGCTGAACCCAAAGGGAGGCGCCATCGCGCTTGGCCACCCGCTGGGTGCCACGGGTGCCAGGCAGATTGCAACGCTGCTGCCCGAGTTGAAGCGCACGGGCAAGAAGTTGGGCGTCACTTCTATGTGCTTGGGAAGCGGCATGGGCGCGGCATCAGTGATTGAGGCAGAGTGAGAGAAGTTGTCCAGAAAGTTTTGCGCGGAGGGGCCCTGCAAATTGCCAGGGGAGCTTCGCATTAGTTTCAGACCTGTGTATGTACTTTTGGGATTGTTCTGCGAGACATTTTGTGGGGCATGAGCCCAGCTAAAAGCTGCGAGTCATGGCGGAAGTTTCCACACTGTGAGCTATGATCGGACAGCCCACTTGGGGCATACCACGTGTTTCCTTGGCCAGAACTGGCCACCGCACAGTATGACAGGGTGCAGGTCCCGACAAAGAGACACATCCCCCCCTGAAGTCAAACACCGTGTCCGTCGGCCTATGTTTGGGAGTGTAGGGGCGTTGTGGGAGATTTGGGATTGTTGAGGTGACACATGTTTATCATTTTTGGGATACAGCGGCGAAGGGCTGTTGAACGGCTGGAAACAACACGCTGGACCCGATGCTACATAGAAACTGTATGCAGCCTTATACATGTATCGGGGAATTCCTAGGTGCAGGATGTTGGCTGCACAACGTGGTTGTCCAGCTTGTTATTGAGGCTCGTGGCTGTCCGAATGTAATGTGTGTGGCTACATTTCTGCGAAGTTCCTGTGTTGCCGCCATCACTGGGTGATTCGCGCGATACCTCTTCGAGGATTTCCGGACGAATCATACTTTAGTAGACATCGCGTTCTCAATCTCAGCATCGGGATTTTGATCACAAGCCTGTGGTGCGACCATCTCAACGAATGGGCAGCAGTTGCGCAATCCTCAGGACGATTTCCTTGGGTTTCATGTCCTAGTCAAGCGAGACATTGCTGCTTCCACGGTCCATTGAGCAATGGACGAAGGTTAATATATGTACATGTGCTGGAAAACTGCGTGCTCTCCATCACAGAGGTGTGTCGCGGACATAAATTGAGGCGTGCCCACACACGCACGCACACAGAGTTCGGAGTCTTTTGGAATGCATTGCGCTTGAACGTCTTTGACAGCATATCACTGCGTGGAGTGATGAAGGGCTCTAACACGCAGTGCATGATTCTTTGATAGATCCATGTCATTTTCGAACCACTGATACGCAATACTTTGACGAGCGTACGTGAACTCCCATGTGATGCAAGTCACCTGCAGGGGAAGACGTTTAGAGAGTCATTCTACAGTTCTGCCATGTTCTGCGGCCAAAGCAGCCGTGCCAACCGCTTCTGCTTTCTTCCTGCACTCCACTAGGCGCAGGCTGACCACATGGAGAACTACCATGTATTACACTTGGTTGGTCAAGGATGCTTTGGCAAAGTGTACAAGGGACGACGCCGACACTCGGGTCAGATCGTAGCCATGAAGTTCATCTCCAAGCGGGGCAAGCCTGAAAAAGATCAGCAGCAGCTCCGTCTTGAGATCGGCATCTTGCAACGCTTGGAGCACGATAACATTATTCGTCTTTTAGATTGGTTTGAAACCAATACGGATTTCGTGGTCGTGACGCAGTTCGCGCATGGAGAGCTGTTCGAGATTTTTCAGGATGACAAGCGGTTGCCAGAAGCAGAAGTGAGCAACATTGCCAGACAGCTAGTCAAGGCGTTGAATTACTTGCATTCGCAGAAAGTGATTCATCGCGACATGAAGCCACAGAATGTCCTCATCGGGTCCAATGGCACCGTGAAGCTTTGCGACTTCGGATTTGCTCGGGCCATGTCCTCTGATACCACCGTTCTCACCTCCATAAAGGGGACTCCGTTGTACATGGCACCAGAACTGGTGCAGGAAAGGCCGTACGATGGAAGTGTTGACTTGTGGTCTTTGGGTGTAATTTGCTACGAGCTCTTTGTCGGGCAGCCGCCATTCTACACGAACTCGCTCGTGTCGCTGGTCCGGCTGATTGTCCAGAAGCCTGTGCGGTATCCAGAATCCATGTCGGAAACCTTCAGGTCATTTCTGCAAGGCTTGCTGCAGAAGGATCCAAAGCAAAGGCTCGGATGGCCGGATTTGCTGCATCATCCTTTTGCCGCTGGGCCGTTGAGCTCATAGACTCAAGATTTCGGAAGGCATGCACTGGAACCCTACATCCCGCAAGTCATGCTTGGACGTTATAGGCCCTGGGGTTGAGCGGGCATACCTTGAAAGGGTTTAGGGTTTTAGGGGTTCATGAACCAAGATCTCACCATCAACACTCACGCCACAGGAGTTTAGATGTGCAGGTGCAACAGGCGAAAATCCACAACTAGCCTAGGTCCGAGATCCAGATGCTTTGCCTGCCCCCATGCCCCGTGCACCAAGCAGGAAGGAGCTGGTGACAGGGCTCAGTTCAGCGATACTTTTTTGAGATGTGGGTTTCTAGAAGGTTTTGCGGCTCCATCTAGGTATGGGTGTGCGTCGATGCAGACCAGTGAGTAGATGGAGGAGCTGATGTGGTTTTGTGACTATGTCGGTTGAACACGTAAACTGATTCGTCGAAAACCTTTTTGTTTGGGTTTCTTGAGGCCCAGGCTTGACATGGATCAGCTGAGGAGATGCTGCAGCCACCTGAACCGTGGGAAGCAGCCGCCAATCGTCCAGACGAGAGCATTGACTTCGCTGGTGATTTGCTGCTTGGCACGGTTACAGGAGGGAGGCCCCATGCGTTGCAGGCCGCTTTTTCCCAAGCCCTACCCGCCTCAGTCTTGGACCCTCTGATAGTCTGATCCCTGGGCCTTTCGGGGGCCCCAAGACTCTGACAAATCAAGGAAGCCGTCGGCCGGTTTGATGTAAGTTACAGGTTGAAACCCTCTTATTACAGCCTGAAGGAAAAGGCCCGAATCTTGAGGCTTGGTTTAACAGTTCAAAAAGCTCGTGAGAAGTTGTGCGTCGGAGTTTGCTTGCATGTGTTTTCTTACCGTTTGCTTATTGGCAAGGTATAAGCTGATGTACGTATATAAATGTATACGTACATATTGCAAAAAATTATATACCGATCGTAATGTAATAGTGGATCATGTCCACTCCATATCTATATCTATACGTGTATCTCTGGCGATATATATATATATATATATATATATGTATATAGATCATTTCCAACATATATAGCTATCTCGGTGTCTCTAGATGTGTATATACATACATATATACATATATATACATACATACATAGATAGACAACTCTACAGAGAGATAGATAGATACATGCATGTATCATGCATGCATACCTGCACAGATAAATGTCGACTCGCCTACGTATCTATGAACTCCGACATTTAAACCCCTATAACTAACTGTATATCTATACATCTACATCTGCATGGCCGTATCGAAAATTATGTTTCGGTAGGTATGCATGTTGAACTTTATGGCATATGTGTTTGTATATATATATATATACATATATGTCTGTATATATATATAGAGAGGAGAGAGAGAGAGAGAGAGAGAGAGAGAGAGAGAGAGTTGTAGATCGGCTCGATATCGATAGCGAGTGTTTGTGTTTATCTAGATCCAGATCGTAATTTAATGTTATACCTACACATAGACTCATGTCGCCTAAGGTCTCTATGTCTCTGCACCCCTGTAACTACATTTGAATCTATATCCTTACCATTCCTTACCTGTACTGTATCTGCACCTAAATCTGTATCTAGGCCAATGTCCAAATCCATATTGGCATATATGTAAACACATCCCCATGGCTCCATGTCTATCTTTGTATCTGCTGAGCCACTTTTATCTCTCTGTTTGCTCTATCTCCATCTTTCTGTCTTTTGGCCTCTCTCTCTCTCTCTCTCTCGATATATATATATATATATATATATATATATATATTTACATATACATCTCCATATCTTTATCATTCTATAGCTAGATATCTATATGGCCAGACCGAGAAAGAGACCTTGACAGAGACTGACAAGCTTCTCGCGATTCAGATTTGCAGCCTTTTGAAGCTTTCGGAGGAGTTGGCCTAGATGGTGGTGTCAGACTATCGAGGCTCTCGATGGCTGTGTTGTTGTTGTCATCAGCTTACTACTAGTACTTGTAGCAGCCTTATGAGCTAAAGTGGCTACATCTAACTACAAGTTCTGTTATTTTCGAGGCGATTGAAATGGCCATGAGTTTTGGTTGTGTGGTTCAGGTTTCTGTGCAATCCGTTCTCTTCTAATTACCTGGGGATTCTGTAAATCACTTGTGATTCTTGTGGTGGACAGAACCGAATACTGAGATCGACGCAAGGTACATTGCGGGGTTTGGACCTATCAGTTGCAAAGCTACTGTTCTGCGCAGACACTCAGGAATGTGCTGAACGGGGCATTGCGCGCCGTCCACCCGGAACAGCTGAGTCCACGGAATCTGGTGCGGCTGGTTGGTGTTTTCGCCGCTTGGAAGGCCGACTCCTTGCTCGCTCTTGTTGCGAAATTCAGGGCTTGGTTTTGGGCATTGCTTCACTGTTAGCCTACAATTGCCGGCGAGCTCTCGTCTCGTTGCGGATATATGCTTGAGGGCTTTGGATGTTTTAAATGTGTAGCTTCTTTTCATGGATACCTGGGCAAAGAAATCCTTCGTTTGGGTGTCCGGTGTAAATTCCAGCGCTGGGCTTCAGCCAGGGAATGTGCAGAAACAGGGTGTCTTATAGGGCTCTGGAGATCGTGCTTTTGAGGTGCGAGGCGATTCCTAAAGACTTCATGGACTTCTCTGCATCTTATGACAAACAGTCCTCCCTAGATGTACTTGGCGTGGCAATTTCTGGTTCAAGTGACATTCTAGAACCCTTCGCGGAAAATCTGTGTAGCTGTTCCTGCAACCTTGTGGATGTTTTCGGAGGATTTTCTGGAGCCTACACTGGCGACGCTGAAGTCGGGCATGCTCCTGCTGAAGCATCCTGCATGCATCAGTGTGCATATTATGGAATGTCCTCGTGGTTGTATATCCGCCTACAACACCCTTATAGCCCAAGCCCCACTGGCAGGCAATGAACACTTCATTGTTCGAACATCTGACATGGCGAAACCATTACACAAGTGGACGACAGTGCTACTTCAGAATCTTTGAGGCATTTGGTGAAGTTGCCGAACGCGACCACGTCCGGATTACCCTGGGGCTGTGCAGTGCAGGCAGGAGTATGTAATAATGTCACAGAAAACCATGGATCAGTATTGCTTCACTCCTACAAGAGTCAATTTGGGCATTGCTGTCACACCAGTTTCTTTCGTGTTTGTCCAGCCGAACCGTGCATTCGTTAACACGTAGTGCCGAGAAGCTATCGAAATCCTTGGTGCGTGGAAGACACGGAAGTCCGAGCGGAAGGCAGTAACGAACGCTTACATGTTGCCAGTAACTAGTACTGCCAGCACTTCCGATGCAGCTACGCCGACTACTACTGCAACTATGCATCCTGGTGCTGCTGATGCCAGTACTACTACGACTACTTCTAAGAGACGAGCTGACCGGGATTGTCATCAAATATCCAGCAACGGCCCATTGGGACATTTGCTTCATTTCAGTGTGTGCATGTGCCATATGCAAAGATTGGCCGACTCGACTTGCTTGTTCAGAGATTCAGATGCCGAATCCACAGCAGTCACTGTCCGACGCGCTTTTGCGAGGAAGGTTCAACCTCAGACGCATTCGATGCCTTTAGAGGCACATCCCTAATTGCCACATTTCTCCATTCCGGCATGGCAAGTCCCTTGAAGTTGGACAAGCAGCATTGCAGTTGTTGCATGCGATGCCGGCACCATTTCCTTCGTTTACGCACATGCCTGTGTTGCATGTTTCAGCATCCCATGTCGTCGCATGTTCCTGCCGTTGAACTATTTCTGTGTGTTCCTGCAAGAAAGACGTAGCAGCCGGCATCTTTTTCCTCGATGGCCATCCTTCGTGAAAGGAGGCGATACGGGGCTTTGAATCCACAGACAATGGATGTGCTTTCCTGCGAACTCATTTCTGGCGCGGATAGGGTTATTGCAATTGTCCCAAACTCGATGATCATTATGAAGTTTAAGGGTATCTAGCTGTATTCAGACAGCACTGCATGCACACACCTATGTACGCATGTGTAAAAGGTTATGTGTACATACATGAGGGCGTTTGCGCATGCACACTGTGTGTGTGTGTGTGTGTGCGTGTGTGTGTGTGCGCCTTGATTTGAAAGCCGTGGTGGACGAATTTTGGGCGTTGGCAGCAACATCTGCAAGCGGTCGACCGGGCTCTTGTTGCCGCTGGCATCGTGTTCCGAGCAAGTGCAACGGAAGTATGCGCGACAGGTGCGCGAGCTCGTAGTAGTCGCAGGACTTGATCGTTGATACACCGGTGTTTACGGGTCTTCCGGCTTGATGGTTCAAGAGGATATGCGCACATACTACACATTTAAATTGGCATTCAAATGGGGTCAGTCAGTTACGTTTATGTACATATGTCAGCATTGAATTACGATAGGTCCGCGAAGGAAACGAAAATCTGCGAAAATTGTTATGTAATCGACTTGGGGCATGTGGGCGTACAATCAGTATGCCACCGTTCCGCAGCAGCACGATTTCAAATCCTTTCGTGACACAATGGCTCAATACAGCCGCAGCCAACGCCTGAGGCTGTGAACTTAATGTGGTTGCCAGGGGGCACCGGCGAATTTGCGGCTCGTGCAAGGCAGGAGCACTCCAAATCAAAACTGGCGAGCGCATTCTGCGCAAGGCAATAATTCCAATTGTAGAACAGCAGCGCGGCTCACAGGTCCAGGTGAATTAGTTTGTGGCAGAAGGAAAGAGGGGCTGCTTGCTACTACGACTTTTACGACGACGACTGACAACAACAACTACAACAACAACAACTACTACTACTACTATTATTATTATGACTACTAGTACTACTGCTACTACTACTATTATTATTATTATTACTACTACTACTACTGCCACCACTACTATTACTCTTATTTCGTCTACTTCTACTTCTACTTCTACTACTCCTAGTAACATTGCTACTACTACGAAAGAATACCGCCACCACGACGATTATTACTCTTGCTGCGCTGCTCGAGGACTCGGCAACTGCTCCTGCTGCTGTTGCCAATACGGCTACTGTTACCACCACCACCACCACGACTGCTACTACTATTACTGCTGCTGCTACTACTACTACTGCTACTACTTCTACTACCCCTGCGATTGCTACTACGAGTACCACAACAACTGCTACTACTACTGCTGCTTCCCCGGCCCCTGGCCCGCCCCTGCTCCTGCTCCTGATGCTGCTGCTGCTGCTGCATGCTGCTGCTGCTGCTGCTGCACTAGACTGCTACACGAGCATACTACGCTACTACTACGGCTACTACTACTTCTGCTCCTACAAACATTACTACTAACGCTACTGACACTACTAACACTACACTATACTACAGTACTGCTACCGCTGAAGTTACCGCTGCTACCATTATTACCACCGCTGCCAGCACAACCATCGGATTTGCATAGACCCTTGTGGATAGACCCGGTCTATCCGCATGATAATCCCCGTATGCAGCATAGGCCCTTATCCCTTTCCCATAGACCCCTTACCCCCGTCACGATAGGCTCTATCTCGCTGAAGCCATGGGCTCCTGTGCTTGCCCTGTCTGGATCACTTTCGATTTGTGAAATAGCCACGACCTACTAGCTTTCGTGCACGGCTTTCCCGCAGCTTGGAGGCTATCTGATGCAGCCAGTAGAGTAGCAGAACATGCAAATGTTGCGAGCAATGATGTCAATGCGATAGACCCTATGCGATATTGGGTTTGTTTCTTTTCCAGAGGCGGGTACATTCCACCCTGTCACGCTTTCCACTACCACTACCAAGGACGGGTATTACTACTGCTACTAATACCACGACTATTACTATTGTACCGCCAGCAGTACGAGTACGACAGCTACGATAACTACGGCTACTCGTGCTGCTATTGCTACTGCTGCTGCTGCTGCTGCTACCGCCGCAACCATTGTAGTTTCTCTTACTACTACTACTACTACTAGTACTACTACGACGTCGACTACGACTACTACTCCTGTTATTCCGGCTGCGACGACGATGACGACGACTACTACTTGTACGATTGTTACGACAAACGGTACAAGTATAACTGATACGATGTCGACAGGATGTCGATTCTACTGACAGTACTATTGTCACTACAACGATTACTACTGCTACAGCTATTGCGGCCGCTACCAGTGCTGCCACCGCTGACGCTGCCCCGACGATTTGACTGGTACCTACGCTGTGATTGTTACTATTACTATTTGGGTCTGTCTTTTTTTGTGGGGTTGAATTTGTAGTCTTGGGGGAGTGTTGTCCTTGCGCGAAACACACCCCGAAACATACCCTGAAACATACCCCGAAACATACCCCTGAAACATACCCCCGCGTTATTCAAATCGTTTGGATGAAGTTAGCAGCGGGCGAAGGTCTAGAGTAGCTCAACCCAGGTCAGGAAAGGTTTCTGTTAACATACCCGTAACATACCTGAAACATACCCGAAACATACCTGGATTTGCTCCAAGTGGCCCGTTGGCCTTTTCCGCTTCGAAGCGATACTAACCGCCTGACAAGTCGGGACCTTCCAGACCTGCAGCCTACAACGATGCCTGTACCACTACTGCAGCTATTGTCACTACTACCTCTACTACTACTACTACTACTACTACTACTACTTCTGCTACTACTACTGCTACTACTACTACTACTGCTGCTGCTGCTGCTACTGCTACTGCTAGTGCTCCTGCTACTACCACTACTACTACTACTCCTGCTGCTGCTGCTGCTGCTACTGCTACTGTTCCTGCTACTACCACTACCACTACCACTACTACTGCTACTGCTATCACTACTACTACTATCACTACTACTACTACTACTACTACTGCTATCACTACTACCAACTTCTACTACTACGACGACGACGACTACTACTACTACTACTGCTACTGCTACTACTACTACTGCTGCTGCTGCTGCTGCTGCTACTACTTCTATGGCTACTACTAATGGTCTGCGCGAAACACACCCCGAAACATACCCTGAAACATACCCGCGAAACATACCCCGATCCCAACACTCCTGGTAGGGCGCCCCCTATTCGGACAGACCCATTTTTGTTACTGTTATCATCACTATCACCTTCACTATTACTAGTGCTTGTACTAATAACTATAACTACTGCTGCTACTACTACTACAACAACAACTACTACTACTACTACTACTCCTGCTGCAATAACTGCCACTATTACTACCTTCGGTCTTATTTTGGTTTGTACACCAACCTGGCACGAGGGCATGTCATCGTGCTGGCAAGCGACTGGCGTGCGGTGGGTGGTCGAGTCGGTGCTCGGCGAGCAAGTCGCTCAGGCCATCGACGTTGGCGGTGCTATGGAGGGGCAGCGACCATAGCGAGGCTGCGCAAGGCCTCGCGGCTGCAGAAGCAAGTCGTCCGGACCATCGTAGCACCCACGCAGCGGTGCTGCTGGCACGCTCGTGAGTCGGCAGCGGGACAAAAAACTGACAAACTGGACGGCTTTTTTTCTCCAGCGTTTTGCGACCTCGATGGCGAGAACGACGAGGCAGCACCTCAGTTCGTTCCGTGTCGCGCCGATCGTGCGCGCTGGTGGCGCCGCTCAGCCTGTTGCGTCGAGGGCTGAGACAAAGGTGGTGTCGACAGCGCCCTGGACTCCTCCCCAGAGCGCATCGCCCGTTGGCGATAACCTCAATTTGCGGGCCGTCGTGCTTTCGGGTACCGTCGAGTCGCGCAGAAGGACATTTGCGGCGCCCAGTCTTCTTCTTCCCATTTGCATTGTTACCCCTACCCCGGTTCCTATTCCTGCTACTATTGCCACTGCTCCTGATCTGATATGCTCCTGCTGCTGCTACTGCTCGTGCTAATGCTGCTTGCTGCTGCAGGTTACGGTTGTATCACCAGGCCAAGATACCACCATGCTACGACTATTATTCCACCACCACCACCACCACCACTACTACTACTGCTCCGACGACTACTACTACTACGACGACGACTACTACTACGACTACTGCCACTACTACAACAACAACAACAACTACTACCACGACTACTACTACTACTGCTACTAGTACTCGTACCACTAATACTCCTACTACTACGACTACTACTACTACTACTACTACTACTACTACTACTACTACTACTACTACTAGTGCTACTACTACCCTTGCCACCGACCGCTGCCCGTGTTGCAAAACTTGCCCTCCGTCATGGTGGTCTTGGCTTGCGCAGTGCTGCTTTGCACGCGCCTGCAGCGTTCTGGGCGTCCTGGGCTGACGCAGTCGCCGTCCTTGGTGTACGGGACGCCGCGCTTGTTACTTCCTTGGTGCAAGCCCTGGACGATGGCCGTGTCGTTGACTGGTCGCCTGTGCAGGACCTAGTACAAGCCTCCGACGCCGTTGCTGAGGCTGGCTTTGCGGTCCCACGGTGGGCCAACTTGCCCCAGCCTGGCCCGGCGCCCGCCGCTGACGATGCCGAGCCTGATGTCCCCTACTGCGGCTGGCAGCGCTCTGCATCCCGCGCCCTCGACGATCATGCCTCGGTCGAGCACCGCCGCGCCGTCGGGCCTGCTGAACTCGCACTCCTCGACTCACAGTCCGGCCCCTTTGCCGCCAGGTTGCTCACTGTCCGACCTGTTGCTCCTGAGCTCGCCCTCGACTCTGCGCTCTTCCGGGTCCTACTCCTCCGTCGCTTGCGGCTCCCTTTGCCACTTGCTCCTGCGCGATGCCGCTGTGGGCGTCCGCAGGATGCCCTGGGTGACCACATCGCTGCCTGTCCTCGGTCTGGCGTTCTCAGGGCACGAGGTGGACCGCTCGAACGTGCAGCGGCTCGGGTCTGCCGCGAGGCCGGTGCTGCAGTCGCCACACACGTCCTAGTTCGAGACCTGAACCTGCAGGCATCCAGGCATGATGAGCGCCGCATCGAGGTGATCGCCAATGGGCTGCCGTTGTGGGGAGGCTCGCAGCTTGCTGTTGACACTACCCTCGTCTCGCCACTTACTTCTGCTGGTGCGTCCCGGCGCCGGCGCGGCAGCACTGCCGGGTCGCCGACGCCCGTCGGTGTCGCCTGGTTGTCCTCGGTTGGTGGTTGCTGGAGTGCCGAAGCTGCCGACTTCCTTCGGTTGCTCGCACGGGCGCGAGCACGCAGTGCCGCCGCGTCCCAGCGCGCAGCGTGTGTCGCCGCCTTTGTCGCACGATGGTCTGGGCTTCTCTCCATCGCTGCTGCACGCTCCTTCGCTGCCAGCCTGCTGTCCCTTCCGATTTCCAACACAGCCAATCTCGATGGCGAGGCTCCTCTCTTGAGTGATGTCCTGGCCGACTCGTCCGAGGCGCCTCCTCTCACCTCCCGCATGGGGTGAGCTTCGCTTCGTTCTTAGGAGGTTGGGGGTTTGGTTGGTTCTGGACTTTTGGTTGGTTCCGGTAGCCTGCTGCACTGGGACCGCGCCCGGAGACTTGCAAAAAGGTCCGTGAAAAAAAAAAACTACTACTACTACTACTACTACTACTACTACTACTACTACTACTGCGACTACTACTACTACTACTACCACCACTACTACTAAATACTAATACTTATGCTGATGCTTATGCTTATGTCTATGTTTATACTCCTGTTCCTACCACCCCTCTTACTACTACTACTGGCATTTTTTTTCCTCCACGCACCTTTTCACTAGCGTCCGAGAAAGCAAGGTGCCAGTGCAGACCCGAGTCAGCGCAAATTGACGACGACGACGATTATTATTACGACGACGATTACTATTACTAACTCTGCGACAAGTATTGCTAGTATTATTAGTCTACTTGTACTAATTAATGAGTACTTCCTCTACGTGTCGCACGGAGTCTTGAAACAACCATGAAGTACCAGTACTCCAGCTTTGGAACGTTGAGTTTCACGTACATTGGACACGAAAGTAACGTGCGGAAATATAGCAGCAGGCGCCTGCCGCACACGGGCGTAAACGGAAAAAAATGGTAAATGAGGGTATTCTTCATCCGACAAGGAATGCACAAATTGTGGTTCAACGGGCGAAATTCTGCCCATCCAGATTTGCTTCCAATCCTCGACGCGCTGTCGGGGCACGGCGCTGGGCGCCTCCTGGTTGTTCCCGCGCAGCGCTACAAACCAGCAGCCCCATTTCGCCAACGCCCACCCTCTTACCACAGATGTGCGTAAACGAGACCCATGCAAAACCAAAAAAAAACAGAAACCTACGCGTAGATGGCATCGTCGACTGTTCCACAGTGAGGGCACCGCCGGGCATTCCCCGCAGAAGAGCTTCCAAGCATTGCGAGACAGAGCTGGATTTACATATCTGCGTGCTTCCAACAGCGAACAGGTTTTGGATCAACTCCAGGCTCCATCCCGCACCGAGCAGGATGGGGCATTCCCAACCGTGATATGTCATTGGCAACTTCACACGCCCAAGAATCACGTGAAACAAAAAGAATCACGTTCGGTCGCTGCGAACTGCAAGATGCGGGCCGCCACAGGCTCCGATGAACTCCATGCGCACAAGCGACAGACAACCGTCAAAACGCTTTCCCGAAGAGTGAAGTATGGACCAATGCTCATGCCCAGCCTTGCATCTGTCATGTGCTTTGATTGTTGTTTCGACCAGTGTTATTAATAAGTTATTAACCCAGTAGAAGTAGTCGTCGTCGTAGTAGTAGTAGTATTAGTAGTAGTAGTATTAGTAGTAGTAGTCGTCGTCGGTCGTAGCAGCACTCGTAGTAGTCGTAGGTTTTTTCATGTATGTACGCGTGTATGCGTATATGCATGTTTGTCCGTCTGTCAGCCTGTATGTCTCAATGTTCGTATGCATGCTTGCGGAAACGTGTTCATAAATAGATTACAGACACTAAGTCACCAAGTAATGATTTATTTGTCTATACGCAACATCGGCATGCATGCCAGGATCATGTTGAAAAAGCTGTTACCAGGCAAGTGTTCAACACCGCACGCATCTATCTTACGGATGCCGCACCGGGCCTGTTGTTGTTCGTGTCTTTGCTACCATTACGACTACGGCTACGATTACTTTTGTTGGTAGTGTTAACGACCACAAGTAGTTTATCAACAAAAACAGATATTTCTCACACGACTACCACAACGACGACCACGACGATTAGCATTACTTCTAGGCGACATTGTGGCAAACACAGCCCAGAGTCCAGTAAGAGATCAATCAAAACACCAAAAGAATCACCAGACTTCGCGAACGTTTAGTGTAAATCACCGCAACCAACAGCCGATCCGCGGTAATTTCATAAAGGGTCACATGAGCGATAGGTTTTCGACTCCGAAGATATAGGTAGTGTGGGGCTCGCATCAACCAGGCAACAAGTGTCGGCCGCGACATCATAGCCACAATGCGTGAAGATAAGTTTTGTTGGGGCACGATAACATGAAATAACAAGATGGATCATAGACATAGGCGGGATCCTTTGTTTACAACTTCTTACTTTTAGCGAATGCATGGTTTGGGCTTGGGGCAACGTGCTGTGGACTTTATGGTTTTGGAGCAAAGCGCTGTCGGGCAGTGCTGCGGAGTTTATGGTTTTGGGGCAGAGGGTTTGCGGGCTTTGTTGCTTTTACTTGGGCCAGAGCGCCTGCGCGCAGTGCTGCATACTTTGTGGCTTGGGCTTGGGGCAAAGGGCTTTCGGGCAGTCGTCGGTTTTGAGAGTTTCTCGGCAGCATGCAGAGCTGTGTTGTGGACATGCGATTTGGGCAGGAAAGCGACGTTTTGATGTGGGGCTTAGATAGTGTTTGTATCGATAACGATTTTGCTGACTTTTGCTTGCTTCGAAGCACACGACCCATTCAAGCTTCAAGCCTTACTCTGATGCCAGGGAGATTGTGAACAGGTTGATTTCGGGTTTAATGTTGGTCTTCAAGTCTCGAACAGGCTTGCAGTAGCTCCAGGGCTTGTTTAGCGTTTAAGGCTTTGAAGTTCGCGTGAGTTTGGCCGAGTGTTGCCACCAACAAGCGCCATGCATACCGTCTGCCACAGACTCGCTCACGATAACACGGAAAGCAAAATCGATAACATTAAACGTGACATGTTGGATACTGCTCGCAGGTCGTATTCAAGCAACAGCACGAACCATACATTACATGGGGTGGGCAGGTCCCGAGCTTTAAGATGACACACACCGTTGTATTGTTGCATGTTGGAGATGCGCATGGTGTGGAAAGTGTATAGTCCTCATCCCGCCTCCCCGCCCCCGTTTTGCCACGGGATCGCTAGTAAAACCTCAACGATCTTCGACGTCTACCACTTGCATTCAAGCCGGGCCATGACGACAGGCAGCGCTTGAGTTGCTGCTTCGCTTGTTCGAGCCGGTGGCCAAAGACGAGCGCATGACCGAGTTGCACACAGAGCTCCAGACCCATCGAACTATTGCTACTATCATGCAGCTCGGTTCAGCAATGTTCCGAATGTTGGTTTCAAGTTGGAACTGTGCTTGTGTGGCCATGCCATGCTGCCGGCCAGCACTGTCCGGAAGGATTTTGCTTTACTTAGGCAATTCCTTGCGGGAGCTCCGGTGGACCCGGGCCACTTGGTTGTAGAAAGACACAAGCTACTGTACGGAAAGTGTTGGCCTTCGTACACATGTAAGTCACGGTCAGGATAACAGAGCATGTGCAGCCGACACGGAGCACACTCTGTGCACGGGTTTCGTGAGATATGCTTCAGAACATGGCGAAGGAAACGATTCGCTGACACCTGCCGTTTCATCCTCGCTTCAACTTTTGGTCGCATCCCGGATGACATAGCATGTTTTCGGTTGGCATTTCTTGTTAACCACTGACTTATGCGCAGTGCCACGCCGAAGACCTGTCCCAGGCATTGGTTCTGCACCACCATTTGCTGGCCTTTGAGTTCGTCCAACATGGAGGCAAAGCATGGGGACGTCAGGTTACTCGAACTAGTTTACCTTGGCAACCATGTCGAGGATTGCAGATGGTCGTCAGCCGACGATTGCTGTCCCCGGGGCTAGCTACCGGCTCCGCAGACAGCGCAGCAGTGACTTTGCTGCGGTGAGTTCCCATGCGTCATCGTCACGTGCATATTGGGTTCATCTACCACTCTGTGAAGTCACACCTTACATGCGCAAAGCTTTCTAGCAGCGCCTCCAGATCAGGCTGTCGTCGATGTCTTGGTGATGATATCCCAGTTGGCTCGGTTGAAGCTTGTTTTGCATTGGAATCAAACGTGCACAAGTTGGCGCTGTTGGGCAGTGCTGCCGTGCTGGGTTGCTGGTCTACAAAAGTGTGACCTGGGTTGCGCAGCTGAGGTCGCGGGAGTACTACCCATTGTTGCGGAGCATGAACTTGTGCATGGCGCTGCGAGATTTGCTTTCTTGTGGCAACGCCAGCGTCCGGGCGAAAGCTTTGAATGCCGCCGTGACCAATTGGAAGTGGGAAGTGGTTTCGCGGTACGTTCCATTCGGTCAGCGATGCGGGGCACATGCAGTTCTCACGGTTCGGTAAGCGGCGCGTTGCGGTTTGCGATATATGCAGTTTTTGTTGGTATGTGGGTGGTGGGCGAGGAGCGTTTGTCGAAGCGATAAATTGTTGGGAAAGGTTCTAACCGTGGACATTTCCTCGCAGAATGTCCTTGAAGGGTGTCGTCCGAGCAGCATGTCGATCCCTTTGCCTGCAGATGGTGGGGAAGCTGCGCCCTCCTGACCACCACTAGTCGTGAGGCCACGCTGGATTTGCAGGGACCCCTCGCCGTCCAAGGTAACAGGGGGCGGGCCAGCAAGACTTCAATATCTTTGTACCATAAACATCGACCCATGCTTGTGGAATACTGCGCTTGATGCTCTCTGACGATCGCCCCTCCAAGGCTGTGGGAAACATGGTTCGTCATTCGGATGAGTTCTACGAGAGTATGCTTGAGGCAGGGCGCAGATTGAAAACTTTGCGAGCACATGTCACAAGCGTTCATCGACTGGCTTTGCAGATTGCGGTAAATGTTCTGGTGCTTCCTCACTCAAGATTTGTGGTGTTGTGCTGTGTTGTTGCAAGGTCCTGTAGTAGCCCAAGACTGCCTGAGCTAGGATGCTGCTGGGTAAGAGCCGGTGAGAGTTGCATTTTCCGACGTTTGTGGTGCTGCCGCAACGACTCGGAAAGGCTGACGCGCGGTTAGCATGCGTTTAGTCATTCACAAAACATGCTCAAGCCCGTTTCTGCTGGCCAGTCAATTGTCCCAGGATGGAGTGCTCAGCCGGCTTATCGAGCTTTGTGGCGACAGTGATTCCGCTTGCCGCAAGTTCGCCTCCTTTGCTTTGGGCGGGGTTGGTGGGAGGGATGTGCGCAGGGTATTTTCTGAAAGATTGGGTTGTTCTGACGTCCCTCGGGCAGGATTGTAACAAGTCCGGCTTCTTCGAGTTGACAACTCGCAGCATGCAGCATGTTTCCTGAGCCATAAACGAACATCGTCACATTGTCGAAGTCCGAAGCGAAATTCTAGGAGTTGAAACCTCGGGTAGAGCGAGCGTTTCGGACCTTGCTGGCTTTTGTTTTCGATGTTGCGGGACCGCTAGGAAGCTGCAACGACTAGCTGAAGTAGCTCTGCCGTAGTCAGGGTTTAGTCGAGCGGGGCCTATGCACACTGTTTTCATGGTTTCGGAGCTTGGTCGAGCTGCGGCTCCACAGACTCTAGGAGGTGAAAGGTCGTTAAATCTGAGCTTTGAGCAACCCATGATCCCACCCACAGATCATCCAAGTTGCAATGGAGGCAACTCGGCCTTCCATTCCGATGCTTTGTACCGCGACTTAGCCCCGGCTGTACCGCGACTACTTCGAAGCTTGCCATTGAAGCGCAGATGTTTGGAGTTTGCAACAGGTGAGCCTTTCGTGGCAAAAGCACGTGCGGCTTCAGCCCCCATGGAACTGGTAGTTCCTACCCTCCTTGTTTTCCGCAATTCCGCAAAAGCACTAGCTTTAGGCAGCTTGCGGTTTCGAGCAACATGCAGATTCGCCCAGCTCTTGCACAAATAAGGATTGCTGCAGGATGTCGAGGAGAAAACACGCGCGAATGCAGCGGGTGCGCCGCGTGTCAGCAAGGGAGTTGGTTACAACCACAACTACAACTACAGCTATTACTAAGTAGTACTACTGCTTCTCCTGCCACTGCTGCCACTACTACATCTACCATTACCGCCACTAGGACCACTACTACGGTCACTACTACTACTACTACTACTACTACTACTACTACTACTACGGCGACGACTACAGACTACTACTCGCTAGTCCTAATACTCGTAGTACTAGTACCGCTACTACTGCTGCGGCGACGGCGCTGGTACTAGTACTAGTACTACTACTACTACTACTACTACTACCACCGCTACAACTACCACCACTACCACTGCCACTACCACTACTCCTACTACTACTACTACTACCACTACGAATACACGATGACTACTATTATTACTAGTATTACTATTATTATAATCACCACCACCACCACTACTACTACTACTACTGCTACTACTACTACTACTACGACGGCTACTACCACCACCACCACCACCATCACCACCCCCGGCACCAACACCACCACCACGACGACGACTACTACTACTAGGACGACTACTACTACGACGACTACTACGTACTGCCACTACTATTACTACACACCTACACACCTACAGCAACATCTACACCACGACAACCACCACCACGACCACCACCAGCACCACCACTACCATCACCACAACTGGCACATGATCTTGATACCTGACACTGGTACTTGCTGCTAGTACTGTTGTGTGATAGAAATGTGATGTTTTTGATCACGATTGATACTGTTACTGCTACTACATGCTACTACTACAACAACAACTACTACTACTGCTTGCTGCTAGTAGTAGTAGTAGTCGTCGTCGTAGTGGTGTCGTGGTATTATAGTACTACTACTACTACTACTACTACTACTACTGCTACTACTACTACTACTACTACCACTACTACTACTACTACTACTACTCCTACTCCTACTCCTACTCCTACTGCTACTGCTACTGCTACTGCTACTGCTACTGCTACTGCTACTGCTACTACTACTAATACTGCTACTAGCACTACTACTGCTGCTACTGCGACTTCTACTTCTACTGCTTCTCTACAAAACAAACCACGACGACCACTGCTACTCATGCTACTACGCCGACAACGGCGACGACGAAACTACTACTACTGCTACTAGTACTCCGGCTGCTGTGTCTGCTACTCCTACTCCGACCATTACTGCTACTACTGCTGCTGCTGCTACTGCTACTGCTGCTGCTGCTGCTGCTGCTGTCGCTGCTGCTACTGCCACTACAACTATTACTACTGCTGCTACGGTGATCGTTTGATTGCATACACAGGGGCTGCTTTGAGTGGAGGTGGCTTCATTAAGCTTGTGTGTTTGCACCAAATACGTGCAATTGATTCGCACTGCATGGAGTGGTACTACTACTCTTTGAGATTCTATTACTATTACCATTATGACTATTACTATTTCTGCTAGCACGAGTACTATTACTACAACTACTACCACCACCACTACCACTACTACCACTACTGCCACCTGCTACTGCTAGTCATGTGTACTACCTACTACTACTGCTATTACTACTACTACTACTACTACTACTACTACTACTACCACCTACCACCTAGCACCTATCACTACTACAAGTACTGCTGCTGCTACCCTCCTCCTGCCACTAGTACTACTTCGACCTCTTCTACCGCTACTACCACCATTCTGGCACTACCACCACTGCCACGACCATGACCACGGCCACAGCACTACCTGCTGCTATTGCTACTACTGCTATCACTACTACTACAGCTACTACTACTACTACTACTACTACTACTACTACTACTACTACTACTACTACTACGACTACTACGACTGCTACTACTACCACCACCACCACCACCATCACCACCCCCGGCACCAACACCACCACCACGACGACGACTACTACTACTAGGACGACTGCTACTACGACGACTACTACGTACTGCCACTACTATTACTACACACCTACACACCTACAGCAACATCTACACCACGACAACCACCACCACGACCACCACCAGCACCACCACTACCATCACCACAACTGGCACATGATCTTGATACCTGACACTGGTACTTGCTGCTAGTACTGTTGTGTGATAGAAATGTGATGTTTTTGATCACGATTGATACTGTTACTGCTACTACATGCTACTACTACAACAACAACTACTACTACTGCTTGCTGCTAGTAGTAGTAGTCGTCATCGTAGTAGTGTCGTGGTATTATAGTACTACTACTACTACTACTACTACTACTACTACTACTACTCCTACTCCTACTCCTACTGCTACTGCTACTAGCACTACTACTGCTGCTACTGCGACTTCTACTTCTACTGCTTCTCTACAAAACAAACCACGACGACCACTGCTACTCATGCTACTACGCCGACAACGGCGACGACGAAACTACTACTACTGCTACTAGTACTCCGGCTGCTGTGTCTGCTACTCCTACTCCGACCATTACTGCTACTACTGCTGCTGCTGCTACTGCTACTGCTGCTGCTGCTGTCGCTGCTGCTACTGCCACTACAACTATTACTACTGCTGCTACGGTGATCGTTTGATTGCATACACAGGGGCTGCTCTGAGTGGAGGTGGCTTAATTAAGCTTGTGTGTTTGCACCAAATACGTGCAATTGATTCGCACTGCATGGAGTGGTACTACTACTCTTTGAGATTCTATTACTATTACCATTATGACTATTACTATTTCTGCTAGCACGAGTACTATTACTACAACTACTACCACCACCACTACCACTACTACCACTACTGCCACCTGCTACTGCTAGTCATGTGTACTACCTACTACTACTACTACTACTACTACTACTACTACTACTACCACCTACCACTACCTAGCACCTATCACTACTACAAGTACTGCTGCTGCTACCCTCCTCCTGCCACTAGTACTACTTCGACTTCTTCTACCGCTACCGCACTACCACCACTGCCACGACCATGACCACGGCCACAGCACTACCTGCTGCTATTGCTACTACTGCTATCACTACTACTACAGCTACTACTACTACTACTACTACTACTACTACTACTACTACTACTACGACTGCTACTACTACCACCACCACCACCACCGTCACCACCCCCGGCACCAACACCACCACGACGACGACTACTACTAAGACGACTACTACTACGACGACTACTACTGCCACTACTATTACTACACACCTACACACCTACAGCAACATCTACACCACGACAACCACCACCACGACCACCACCAGCACCACCACTACCATCACCACAACTGGCACATGATCTTGATACCTGACACTGGTACTTGCTGCTAGTACTGTTGTGTGATAGAAATGTGATGTTTTTGGTCACGATTGATACTGTTACTGCTACTACATGCTACTACTACAACAACTACTACTACTGCTTGCTGCTAGTAGTAGTAGTAGTCGTCGTCGTAGTAGTGTCGTGGTATAGTACTACTACTACTACTACTACTACTACTACTACTACTACTACTACTACTAGTACTAGTACTACTACTACTACTACTACTACTACTACTACTACTACTACTACTACTACTACTACTACTAGTACTACTACTACTGCTACTGCTACCGCTACCGCTACTGCTACTGCTACTGCTACTGCTACTGCTACTGCTACTGCTACCACTACTAATGCTGCTACTAGCACTACTACTGCTGCTACTGCGACTTCTACTTCTACTGCTTCTCTACAAAACAAACCACGACGACCACTGCTACTCATGCTACTACGCCGACAACAGCGGCGACCAAACTACTACTACTGCTACTAGTTCTCCGGCTGCTGCGTCTGCTACTCCTACTCCTACCATTACTGCTAATACTGCTGCTGCTGCTACTGCTACTGCTGCTGCTGCTGCTGCTGCTGCTGTCGCTGCTGCTACTGCCACTACAACTGTTACTACTGCTGCTGCGGTGATCGTTTGATTGCATACACAGGGGCTGCTCTGAGTGGAGGTGGCTTAATTAAGCTTGTGTGTTTGCACCAAATACGTGCAATTGATTCGCACTGCATGGAGTGGTACTACTACTCTTTGAGGTTCTATTACTATTACCATTATGACTATTACTATTTCTGCTAGCACGAGTACTATTACTACAACTACTACCACCACTACCACTACTACCACTACTGCCACCTGCTACTGCTAGTCATGTGTACTACCTACTACTACTGCTATTACTACTACTACTACTACTACTACTACTACTACTACTACTACTACTACCACCTACCACTACCTAGCACCTATCACTACTACAAGTACTGCTGCTGCTACCCTCCTCCTGCCACTAGTGCTACTTCGACTTCTTCTACCGCTACTACCACCATTCTGGTACTACCACCACTGCCACGACCATGACCACGGCCACAGCACTACCTGCTGCTATTGCTACTACTGCTACTACTACTACTGCTGCTGCAGGTGGGTGACAACAACTGCTGCTGCTGCTGCTGCTACCGCCACTGCCACTGCTACCTACTGCGTCTACGACTACTACTACTACTACTACTACTTCTACTACGGCTACTACTACTACTACCACCTACTACTACTGCTACTACTACTACTACTTCTTCTACTACTACTACTACTGCTTCTACTACTACTACTACTACTACTACTACTACTACTACTACTACTACTACTACTACTACTACTACTACTACTACTACTCATGACGACGACGACTACTACTACATGTTTGCCGCCTTTTAGTTTTTCACATTCGTGCTTCGATTGCTACGCTTTTGATGCTTGGCTCCGATGCTACCATTACAGCACTGAAGAGTATTGTGAAGATTGCTGCGGCTGTCGGCATCATGCTCCGTCTTGTATTTGCAGATCCTCGTCGCAGTGCCGTTCTCGTGTTCGTCCGGCATGCATCCTACCAAGGATCGGCAATCTCGTCAGGACCCGATGCCAAACGGCAAACTTGTTTGTTCTGAAGACGTGAGCTTTCGGGCTTTGAAGCTGAAACGATGCGTTGATCGACGGGCACTTTCGGATGGCTTTATCTCAGTGGCTGAGACCGCTTTTGAATGTCCTACTACTGCTACAAGATGTTGCTTAAATTTTCCGCCATAGCCTTCACCCTGAACTCCGTGCCCAGCCTGCCCCGCCTGTTTCCGACGACGATGCCTTTGAAAGGAACTCCAATGAGCTTTGTGGAGTCATGGTTCGCGAGGGCGCTGCCCAAGGCAGCTTCCAAAGCAAGCGCTGCTCAAGATCCATGCTGTGTTCGAGACATGTCGAGACTGTTTTCCTGTGTGTGCTTGAGGCCAGGACAAAAGCAACTCGTGTGCGATGTGTAGCATGAATAACTAACCATTGGTATTGGAGGAGCTCAGGAGCTAGGGATGATGACAATCGCTATTAAATCGGGAGCTAGAGAGCCAAGGGAACCCCAAAACGAATAGTCAGATAAATCCACGAACGCCGGTCTGAAATAGGCAGCCACATGCGAGACCATGAAAGTTGAAACGGAAGCTTGCCGATAGTTTGCCAGACGCAGATCACATTCGGTGGAGGGGGAATTAGCTCTGCCAACAGCAGATGGGCGCCACGGTGATGATCCCCATACAGGTACATTGTTTTTTCTTGGAGCGCCCTTGAGGAGACAAGCGTAGAGGCAGTTAATGGATCCAAGTGGATCATGCATAGCTGGAAAAGTCTTCGAAGTGCCAAACACCAGCAATTTCATGTGCTGGCTTTTGCACCAACCACCACTACTGTTGCTGCTGCTGCTGCTACAGCTGACGCTACTGCTTTTGCCCCGACTGCGTGTATATGCATGTATGCATGCATGGATGTATGTATGTATGTATGTTTGCATGTTGGTTTGTATGTATGGATGTATTTGTGTATATATATACATATACACATTTACACAAGATATATTTATAAATTGTGTGGGGGGTTGCTTTTCTGCTGTTGGTTTGGGAACCTATTCATTATGTCTTTTCGGATCACTCAGGCCTTTGTGAGCTGATATTGTCCCGCTGCCCGCGGCGAGCAGAGCCCGTGGACAAGTTGGTCGCCGACTCCTCGGCGACCCGTCCGAAGGCTTAGGGTTTCGGGGTTTCGGGATGCTCCGAAACACCCTCAAAACTGACCTCCAAGGATATTGGGAGGTCTAGGGTTAAGCCCGTGTATGCTTGCGCGGTCTGCCAGCTCGCAATGTGCCCGGCGACAAGAGGCCCGGCTCCGAAAAGGTCTAGGGTTACCGGTAGGGCCGGTAGGGTTTGGACAGCGGAGATGTTTGAAAGTTAAGTTGTCACGCAGAGATTGGAACTTCTGAAGGGTCTTGAAGATTTGGTAGCATTGAGTCTGGTACTGGTGCTTCGTTCTTCGGGTTTCCTCGTGAAGTCAAGAGTCAAGCGGTGTGGACCAAGGCAGGCTGTAGTTTCAACAGCAGGGCCCCACCCACACGAACGCAGCCTCCCAGGTGAAGATCGCACTGTTCTCCTTGGGAAACTTGGCGGTGCATTCGGAATGCCGCGCTGAGCTCAAATGCTCCACACAGGCTCCCAAGATGTCTCGGTTGTGGATTCTGTTGCTGATGCTGTGAAGAGCTTCGCTTCTAATCTTCCAAAACATACTCCCAGTGCTCTAGTGTGGGTATGTAATCAGGGAGCAGATGTTTCCCCGCCCTTACATCCGGCCGCCAGAGCATTAACGTCAAGGAGGTCCTGCCGTGTCCTGCCTGATCGTGAGGACATTTTGTGTCGAAGCCCTCATTCCGAAAATCTCTCATGCAGTGATCGTGTGAGCTTTGGATGTGGGAGGCGCGGGAGCTTTGCCACTACCTGATGAAGATCACCCAGCCAGATGACATTGTACACAAGCTCCTGGGCTTGGAGCAATTCAGACCTTCGGGCTCGAAGTGTTGATAAGCCCAGCTTCTTTTCCTGAAAACCTGGATGGACAGCGCTTGGCTGCAGCTTTTGCCTCAGCTTTCTCCCTGAGTCTTCATGTCTTTGCAAGCCTCGGTTTCAGGCTGCTTTGGCCGTGCTGAATTGAATAATTACTGCCTTGACCCACAGGGGTTTTGGATTTCGGGTTTGAGGGTGTGGAGTTTACTCTTCAGGACCGGCTAGTCCGAAGTTCGGGGGGTCTAGGCAGAGTTTCATGCCGAGGTACTCCGGCCGCTTGCTGCAGAAGCTTTCCCGGTGAAGGCTTGGATGCCACCAGGAGCCGAGGCTAAGCGCCCCCCCCGCACTCTTCAGCGCTTGTGTTCCAAGACAGCATCAGAGGATGAGGCCCCACGGAGCCCTCCACCCCAAGCACTTCTGCAGGCATACTCGAAAAAAGCTGCTGAAAAGTTGAGACATACGTCGCGAACAGGGCAGGCACTCCAGAAAGACCAAAGAAGCGGGTTTGGCGGTTACTGGTGCGATTGATTATGATCACACGAGAATGGAAGTACTACGATTACTATTGGTGATCATGATTATGGTTATCGTTATGATCACAAGAGTCTGGACTACCAAAGAATTGCTACGGTCATGATTATTCGTAGTACGCTTCGCACTGGTATTGCATTTCCCGCTTTCTGACCGAGGACGGGTTGCTTGAAGGGGAGATTTCAAGCAGCCTTAGGGGGGTCCTGGGGCTCTCTGCTTTGCCGGACAGCTGTTCTGTTGCAGGCACGCCAGTGCCGCCAGTACTAGTTGGTAAGAGAACGCGAAGCTTGTCATCATTATGTTTCAGTATAGCGGAACTGCAATATGCACCCGCATGCATGCATGTGTGTGTACCTACTATTCGTGGGTGTACTTTTGTTTGCATGCAAGTATGTACGTACTTATGTGATGCACCGTTGTTGCTTGGATTTGTCTTTGATTTCAACGTAAGTGAGTTCTCGAGATCCGGCGGCACTGAGCCCCGAGTGCACTCCGGGCCGGGTGCAGAGCGACAAAAAAGCCTCGGAAGGATTTTTGTTTACTGGTCCAGGGTTTCGTTGACACTTGGCTACTGATTGGAAAGCGTTGTTCTTATCAGGTCATCAGATGTTTTTGGGCTGCTTGTGGATGGCTGTTGGGTACACTGTCCTCTGAAAGGAGCTTGCACAAGAAGTGCAGTGAACTTGCAGGAAGGTAGAAGCATGTCACGTCGGAGCTGCTTTCGTCGCGAGCTTCTGCTGGCATGGCCCAGAGGGACGCACGAACAGCAATATGTACGATGCAAGGTTAACTCGATTAAGCTGCTGCGTAGCCGAACTTGAGTCCTGGAGTCCGACGCAGATGTGTAGCCCATGAGCGCTGGTCAAAGCCGTTCGTGTGCCCTCCATGTGCTCGAAGAAAACACACTGACACTTACAGTATCCAAGACCTGCATCGCGTCAGCACAGGTCCTGAAGCCACTTTAGTCAAAACAGACTCCCTTCTCCCCCATGCTTCCTCGCGCATGCCTTTGCATCTCCCGGCGGGCCTTCCACTCATGCATGCTCCTCCTAAGCTGCTCGGATCTTGTTGATGCTTCCGAAACTTTTGGGATTGTGGATCCTTGGCGTACAGGAAAGACGGCCTCAGAAAAAGGCCTAGCGGGATCGAGGCCGTAGAACGGAAGCCCGCGCTCAGCATGCATGCTTCATATTTCCTGGACACCGTTGGCTCCGGCTCGAGATATTTTTTCAATCCTTCGCCCAACAAGAGCCTCCTGGCATCTCCCGGCGCAGGACGCCAGAAGAGAATGATTACAGGAGGTCCTCGGAATCAGTCCTCTGTGCCAGTTCCTGAAGAGGGGTACATCCCCCTGAAGAGCATGGCCATGACGATTCCTCTTCCTGCGGGCCTTCTCAAGTTCGAGCCTGGTGCAGTAATTCCGAGCTTCCGGGCCTCAGCAGAAGGGGAGTCACCGGCCACAGCCAGCACAAACACATCCTCCCCTTTGCCAGACGTTCCACTGCACAGGAAGTCCTTCTTCACTGCCAGTGCTACAGAAAAGCTTCAGCTTCATAAAGCCGGGCAGTGCTATCCGTGCGTGGCCTTCGCTTTCAAAGCGGCTGGGTGCTATAAGGGCGACAGCTGTTCACACTGCCATTTCTGTACTGCCTCCGAAGCGACCCAACGAAGAAGGCAGCTGCAGGCAGCGGCGCGGCAGCAGAGGAGGAAGCAGCGACCGGCAGACCCAGGGAACGAAACGACAGCCCGCATTCTTGCGGGCGAGTCCTTCTGGCTTTGAGATGAGGGAAGTAAAAAGTAATACAGTGCATTGCAACGTATAGTCAGTGTAGTCAAGCAAGCTGGAGCAGCATGGGGTGTGCATCTCCGACAGGTGATGATCGATTATGATGATTTTAGTGGCCTTCCCTGGTATCCAAGCAGTTCCCCACCCAACTATCAATCCGTAAGGGTTTGAGACGTGCCACCGACATCTGTCGGACACACATCAGCTTCCCGGCTGCGGCAGCATCCTGAGGTGTTCTTGCAGCTTGCTTGCCCCTTTTATGACTTTTTGCTTTCAGGCTCGGGCGCAAGCTGGCCGCGATGTTGGAATTGGAAGCCTTCTTTTGCAGAGGTGTATCTCCACATGCTTTCCGTTTGCTTTGGGTTGCCCCCTGCTGCGCCTGAGCCATTCCAACTTCACGTCGCCTAGATGGCAGCATAGGCTTTCTCGTGAAGGGAAGTTATATGTTTGTTCAGGAGTTGATTTCACGCTGCCGCGGCGGTCTTGCTCTCTCTGCAAGATGTCGCCACTCTAGAAAATCCTTTCCATATCCAGCCTGCAGCTGGTCCCAGCGTTCCTTCGGCAAGAGAAAAGCAGGGCCTTGCTGCGGCTTCGGTTTAGGCCCACGGTCTCAGGGGTTCAGGGGTTCGCGGCTTGCTTTGTGGCTGTTCGCGGGCAGTCCGCTAGTTTCGCGTGGCTTTGGTTGAGATCTGATGTTCAAGCCGTTTATATTACATGTTTACACACAAACATAATATTATATCAGTCGGATTGCCTACAAGCAGAGAGAGGGAGTGCTATACAGCATACATTTATCAAATCAAAGCTTTAGTATATACATGTTCCTCGATACGCGTACATACACAGTTTAAACTCCGCGAATTGGGCTTTAGGCTGCACCCATGGCTCACAGCCGGAAACCGAGAAGACCCTTCATCCCAGGGCTCGCAAGATGCCGCTTCTGAGCTGCTGGGGGAAGCGTTTCACGATGACAAAGATAGTGGTGCCTGACCAGCCCTTTTTGCCCCCGCCGGTCGCTCACTGTTACGACGGTTGTCGTCAGAGGCGGCTTCGTCACTTGGGGTTTAGCATAGGACGGACGATGTGTGGATGAGGCACAGGGTGCTGTCTACGGTTTGCCATGGATGTGTGTATGCGTGTCTGTACTCGTATGTATGTATAGGTTTTTTAGTGTAAGTATACTGGCGAGCATGTGTGTATGTATGCACGTGTGTGTATATGTGTAAATATGTATGTGTGCATAAATATATATATATATATATATATATATATTCATTATCACACTATGTATGTATGTGAGTGGGCGGGTGGGTGGGTAGGTAGGAAGATAGACAAGTAGCTAGGTATGTGTGTATGTGCTTATGCTATTGTATGGTTATAGTTGTGGGATTGCATACGTGTACACGCAAACATCCATATGTGTATATATATATATGTACATATACACATACATAACATACACATACATGTATGTGTGCATGTATGCATGTATGTTCGCATGTATGCATGTATGTATGTTGCTTGTATGTGTTTGTATTCATGTTTGCCTGTATCTATGCAGTGCTCCGCTACAACTCAAGCCCACGTACAACAGTGAATTCTCGAGATCCGGTGGGGCTGGGCCCCGGGTGCACTCCGGGCCGGGCGAAGAGCAACAAAGCGCTTTGAAGGATTCAAATGTGGACGGGTTCATGTTTTCGTTGACACCTTGCTACCTACGCGGGTCTAGTCTAGTACAGGGTCGTGACACATCATGTTATCACGACGACATGGCTGTTGATCCAGCTTGCGGTCATTTTCAGGGCCTTACTTTTCACTGGCAGGTTAATGTTCCACACTGCGGGCCGGACCATCATGTAATACCCTTTCCGGATAGTGTTGTGAGGTTCTTTCGTGGAGAGACTGTTGTCGCCGAAAGAGATTGTTCTGTCCTTTTGGTTTTGATTTAGGTCATGGTTTCAAGCATCATTTGTAACTTCGTCATCATTCTCGTTACCGTTTTCATTGCCATGATACTATCATGTTTCACCCTTTGGCTGAAAAGTGCCGGGTAAAGGGCCGGTGGGAATCCTGGAATTCTCGAAGAAAGAGGAGAGCCTGAGGAAATTATCGTTGCACTAAACTACAGTTTGTCCACCGTTTGGTTGAAAAGCGCCCGAACCGTCCCCAAAACTATAAGAGAATCCTGTTTGAATCAGGGGTGGGGAGAGGAATGATAACAGAGAGCGAAGCCACAAAATAAGTACTGATGGAATCAGGAATGAACTTAGGCATGAAGAAAAACGAAGCCCCTAGCGATAACATAAATGATAACACAATCGTAGATTTACAATCTGTGCATGCCTTAGGATTTTCCAAGGATAGTACAGGTGCGAGGTGTACATGTCTTGCAGCAGGTTTTCAGAAGGAGCCCTCGGGATGTCGTTCAGAAACCTATATTCTCAGACGTATCCGGGCTGGATCTTTGATGGGAAGGGCATGCGTTATAGAAATAATCACGTTTTGGCCAATATCAAGCAGAGGAACTCTGAAGTGACGTTTCTGCTGTTCATGGTTTGTAGAATGCCGTCGGGTGCAGCCTCAAATGACAACAGCAGGCACTAGAAGCACATCTGAACTAGCAGGAAGCCAGAAACAGCCAGAAGCATGTCACGCCTGAGCTGTGTTCGGCGTGAGCTTCTGCTATGCATGGCCCAACAGCACCAGAAGTGCAGCATGTATGAAGGCATCAATATCCGACAGGACACGCCGTAACGTTGATTTTAAGTGGGTGCGTAGCCGAACTTGAGTCCTAAACTCCGGAGCAGATCCATAGCCCATGAAAGTTTCGTGTAAAAGCCGCATGTTTCCCAAGTTTAGCCGCGTTCCTTGTGCTCCAAAGCACAGAAGGGACTCTCCGAGTATCCAATACGTGCATCCCAAGATCATGGGCTGTGAAACCTCCTCAGTCACAGAAGACTCCATTTCTCCCCCGCCCCCTTCCCATACGTGCATGGCCTTTTGGGCATTCCACGCGATGCAACGGCAGCAGACTCTGCGATCTCACTGCTCCTAGTCTGGGATTGTAGATCGTTGGCGTGTATGAAGATGGCCTCACCTAGACTTTGAGTGCATGAAAGAAAGCTGTCCGAAAGTAGGCTTCATGCTGCTAGGTCGCTGCCGGCTTTGCAGGTGCTTTGCCTCCGTGCTGGTTGAAATGCAAGCTGTCCGTCACCTACGCTCGTGCCTGGTTATGCTTTGTTGGACCGTTGGCTCCGGCTCAAGATATTTTTTCAATTCCTGGCCCGACACGAGTCTATACTGGCAACTCCCGGCGAAGGACGCCATAATGATTGCCGGAGGTCCGGGCCTTCACTCCTCTTCGCCGCTGGCAGAGGGGCGCATCCCCCTGAAGAGCATGGCCATGACGATTCCTCTTCCTGTCGGCCTTCTCAAGTTCGAGCCTGGTCAAGTTTCTACTAGCTTCCGGGCCTCAGCAGAAGGGGAGTCACCGGCCACGGCCAGCACAAACACATCCTCCCCTTTGCCAAACGTTCCACTGCACAGGAATTCCTTCTTCACTGCCAGTGCTACAGAAAAGCTTCAGCTTCATAAAGCCGGGCAGTGCCATCCGTGCGTGGCCTTCGCTTTCAAAGCGGCAGGGTGCTATAAGGGCGACAGCTGTTCACACTGTCACTTCTGCACTGCCTCCGAAGCGACCCAACGAAGAAGGCAGCTGCAGGGAGCGGCTCGGCAGCAGAGGAGGAAGCAGCGCCCCGCAGACCCAGGGAACGAAACGACAGCCCGCATTCTTGCGGGCGAGTCCTTCTGGCTTTGATGTGGGCGTGCTTCCCTCGAATAGCTGTGTCAGAGTGATTGGCGTGGAGGGAAAGAATACATTGAATTTCAATATGTGGTCAAGCAAGCTCGAGCAGCATGGGGTGTGCATGTCCGACAGGTGCTCGCAGAGTAGCTGAGAATGTACATAGTATGTGCCTAAGCGTCGTGAGCGATTTCCCACTCAGCGTGTTGGCGGCATTGCGAAAGACTTACAACAACATGCTGCCGACACCTGTCGGACAGGCAAAGATCAGATTCCCAGCTGCTGCAGACACCATGAGGTGTTCTTGCATCTTGCTTGCCCTGCCCCGTCTTTAATGATGCTTTTCCACCGGGGCAAGGCGTTGGTGAGGCGACCTGGTACAGGTCTCCCTTGCCGTGCAATTTCGACCAGAAGCGGTTTGTTCGGGATTTTGTCTAATGCTGCCGCGACCATCTTTTCTGCAAGATGTCGCCAGTCTTGAAGGACCACGCATATCCAGCCTAAAGCTGGTCTGAGTGTTCCTTCGATAACAGAAAAGCAGGGCCTCGACGGCTTAGGTTCAGGCCTACGATCTCAGCGGTTCAGGGGCTAGGAATAGTTTAGGATTCTTGAGGCTCCGCTTGCTTTGTGAATCGGGGCTTCCGTCATTTTCGAGTGGTTTTGGGTTGATCTGATGTTGAAACGGCTTAAGAAATACACATGCACAGACAGGCAGGGAGGGAGGCAGGAAGAAAGACATACATACACACAGACGTGTATGTGCGTGTGTGGGGGTTGTATATTACACAGAGAGACACAGAGAGAGAGAGAGAGAGATATAATAAATATATATATATATATATATATATATATATATATTTAGATAGATAGATAGATATGGTGCGCTGCTAGGCCCCCCTCCCCCCCACCCCATGGTATCCCCCCCTCCCCCCCTGTTGTTCCCTGTGGTGTGGGTTCCACCCTGCCCCTCCCCCCTGTGGTTGCGGTCGGCTCCGAGCTATTGCTGGTCGGGCGTCCGGTTGCTAAAGGTTTTGACCTTAAGATATTATACAGTTCCACTGAACTCCGACCTGCCCTGAGCTCCAAAGCCAATGACAGTGATGAGTATTATGGTGATGATAATGAACGAAGATGGTGGTCATGATCCCCATGCACACTCTCCTCCGATCCCTCAAGAGTCCCGAGTGACAATCATTCAAAAACGTGCTCAAGCTTGCTTGAAACGAACCCAACCGAAACTTGGCTTGGAATGACAACGGTCGATACAGTTTTTGCAAGAACATCACAAGCCAAGCACGATTTTCAGCTACATAAAGCAATGAACATGCGGTGCCGAAGCCCAGAGCAACATAAGAGCAGAGGTACACAATACCACATCAACGTCGATATGCAGAGCATCATTGCCATCATTCTCATCTGTGTGTCGCAGGGGAGGGGAAGGGGAAGGGGCCTTGTGGTTCCCTGTGTTGTGGGTTATCCTTCCCTGTTCCGTGTGTTTTGGGCCCCCCAACCGTTTGCCAAGGCGAGCGGCCTGACTTGGGCGGGGGGGCATTCCGTAAGCTTGAGGGGTGGGGGAGGAGGGGGGGGCATACCATCGGGGAGGGCGGGGGCGGGGGGGGGGGGCCTGCGACGCGGCACCATATTATATGTATATATATATATATATATATATATACATATATATATATATATACACACGTATGTAAATATGTATACACACGGTGAATTTTTGTTAGCAAGAGGAGGGCGGCCGAGGCCACAGAGGTAGCATAAGAGTTGTGGTTAACCTTGTCCGCACGTTTAAAACCACAGGGTCACCATTGTAAACAGACTTGGCGGCCCTTTCCTGACGGCCACGGAGGTAGTATAAAGTATCTGTTTAGATTTCTAAGCATCCGCATGCTTGAAACCAATTAAACATACCCATAGCATTGTGTGATTCATGTGTTGTACGTGGATGCGTCCCTTCTGTATGTATGTGTATACACATGTGGGGAGACTAGCCGCCATATACAGTCCAAGCGCCACGAACCGTCTTGGCTGCACCCAATGCTCAACTCAAGAGCCCTCCACTCTTCGCGAGACCGGCGCCAGAGCCAACAACAAAAACCTCAAAGAGAGCGCAGCCGGAAACCGAGAAGACCCTTCAGCCCAAGGCTCGCAAGGCTTCTGAGCTGCTGGGACAATTGAAGCTGCTAGATAAGTCACCCACTGCTATCGGTGCTCGTTGTATACCCGAACAAGGGTTTTCGTGGACATTGACATCGGCTGCCGCTCATAAGGCGTCGCAACGACGACAGCGACGGTGGTGTCGATTCAAACCACACAAGCTCAATTTGCTCCGGCCCCATCCCCCCACTGTCAAGAAGGTGGTCACTAGCGGTGAGTGGTTTGGCCGCCTGGGGCTTGTCATAGCACAGTCGGACAACAAGATTTGCTCTTAGTGCCGCAAGTCCACAGCTGCGGGAGAAGTCCAGAGTTGTGCGATGGCCTGGGGACTTAACTTGTTGGTGGGTGGGGTGTGATATATCGGGGTGTATGTTGAGATTGGTGATAGATGGCGGAACCGGAAGATTATCACCATTACCATCCACTGCCCCTTTACACGAGTTTTTAACCTTCCTTATAGGTAAACCATTTCCGACACGAGCAGTCATGTTCCGATCTGAGACGCCTGCAACTGCCTCGCCTGGAGCGTGAGAAAACAGGACATAGATCTTTGAGCTCGCGGGTTCAGGGAACGTGCCAAATCTTTTGTCAACATGGCCCCAGCGATCCTGCAGCGAGTTTTCGGCTCTTTCGAGGGCCCGCTGCACAGACATGGCCCGCTACTCCTCTCTGCTGAAGGCGGCCGTCCTTGCGTGCGCGCTGCTGGCTTTCAAGGACTTGGCCTTTGTGGGACCCGCAGAAAGCCCGAAACTTCGGGGACAGGAGGCAGGGACCGCCAAGCGCCAAGCAGTGTCTGTAACGTGTTGGGAGAGAGAGGGGGCCCCTCATGCCATGATGAAGAGGGAGAGAGGCAAACAGAGGGAGGGGAGAGTGCACATACATACCTACACAAACCTACAGTTTACATACATAAATACACAGAGACAGACACAGACCCTCGGGATGCAGAGCGAGAGTGAGAGACTCACACAGACATACAAACTCACAGACACACACACACACCCACACACACACACACACGCACACGCACGCACGCACCGCACCGCACGCACCGCACGCATACGCAGACACAGGCACAGACACCCACACCCACACGCATTCGCACATGCGCACGCACACATGCATGTTGATACATGCGGCAGAAACACGGGTTGAGGCCTGACCGATCCAAACTCTCTGCACAAGAAGCTCATGAACGAAGCTTAAGAAACTCAGATGCGAGAAGCTCAGACCTTGGACTATCTGGACAATGCTCAAACACCTAAAGCCCGCTTGCCCCTAACCCGCCCTGCCTGAACCATGATTATATATGTCTCTTTCAAAGTGCTACGCAAAGACGAAAATCTTCAGATGCAGAAGACTCGAAGGTCCGAATTGCCAGAGCAGAACCCGGACGGGTAGCGCTCGAGGCTTGAAATCTCCTCGTTGAGGGCTTCACGGTTTCAGAATCACGGTGACGTTAAGCACCTCCCAATGATTTCTACTTCTAGGTTTGTGCAGCTTCGGCGGTGGATTTTGTCTTTGTGCATTTTGCCGAAGGGGCGCGGGCCGATTTCAGGCCAACAAGGTTTCCTGCAGTGCTGCACCAGTTTCGCGTGGGAGAAGGGAGGAGACACAGGGTATAGGGAAAGAGCCTTAGACGACGACAGTGTTAATCAACGGCTCCAAGCTTCAAAACGCGATTCATACTGCAAGTGCATGCTGGCTACTTTTGTGTCTGCTTAGCTTGTCGGAAGGATAGAGAATATCATGCAATTGTCAGTGGTTCCAAAGCTTGAACAGTCTTGTCAAATCTGTCGTGTCGTAATGGCCAACGTATGCCACAAAGGCCGTATCATTACTACATGTTCGTATTGATGGCCTGTCAGGTCAGCAACGTGCCAGATAGATTGCCTGTCGCCCAAGTAGTAGGCCATGACTCCTACAAGTAATAAGTGTATGCACTGCTTGCTCGAACCTCACGGCAATCCCTTAGCCCTTTGGCACCTGCCCGGAGGCTACCGGTGTTGGTTTGTAGTCGCAGAAACACACTCTGGTGAAGAGGAGCCAACAGGCTACCCCAACCTACTAGAATCTTCGCAGGCGCAAGAATTCAGACGCTGTAAATCTCAAGCGATCAGGCTTTGCGTTTGTGGGACAAGGGCCTTAGCTGCTAATGCCAGATTTGTTCGACACGTGTGAAAGCTATTGATCATAGCACGACGTGGCAACTGGAGGAACGCGGAGCCGAGCAGGCGTTCAGCAGAGAGGACGTACCGAAGGCGCAGACAGGGAAACATTGGATTTAGAAATTTGGAGTTCAGGATCTTGGCTTTAGGAAATATTAAGTTCAGGGTTTTAGGATGTTGGGTTTCGGGTCTGGGGTTCAGGTTTCAATCTTCAGATGTAGTTTTGATAGGCCAAAAAAGGAGCCAGGGTGAAGACCAGAAGTTGGGGCTCCGGTGGCTTTAGTTCAGCAGAAGGAGTGCAGAAGGGTTGCAGAAACATTCACTTAAACCCTAAACCCTACCCCTATTGGCGGCTCGGGAGCCCCTCCCAGACAATCAAAGTACGTGTATGCGCCCTTTCTCGTAATTCTTGTGGTGCACCCCATGAAAACCCTCATAGTTCCCGAAATCAAAAACAATTATCCCCGGCATCACCCCTATAGTAGCCCTAAGAATCCTCATATTCCCCCATGTTTCGTAGCCCTTCGAAGGTGCTGCTCGCCTTCGCCTCCGGATTGACGCCCACGGCTGCCGTGGCCTACACCACGGCCGAGGAAGCTCTGAGGCCTTGGTCCTCCGACGCAATTTTGCACCTTTAGGGCTTACTTGTAGCCGAAAAGACCTACCTTTTAAGGTTCCTTATTATGGTTTCTACATGTAGATCCTTAAAAAGGTAGGTCTTTTCGGCTACAGGTAGGTTCAGGAAGGAGAGCTCTGGTTTCGCTACAGTGACTGTTGCTGCTGCTCCTGCTGCGACTTTCTTCTACTCCTGCTGCCACTACTCCTGCTCCTGATGCTGCTGCCCGCCCCTTTTTCCTTCTACTCCTTGTTTTCCCCACCCCTATCAGCCCAGAACACCTGCTTGAATCACCAGGTTGAGAGACCTACAGACTGCGGTCGTCGTTGTAGCTAGCAAAGATGCAGTTGGCTCACCTTTCCCTTGTGCCATAATCGCCAACATCACGACACGCGACATACAACAAAGTCATAAGTGACATCCATATCCATGTACGGTCCCTCACTGACCGTGTTTGTAGCTTTTCGCTTCCAGTAATGATCAGCAATGAATGTCAACAAATAAATGGGAACCAGAGCGACACAGAGAGAGGCGGATGTGTACATCCATACATATAGACACACAGAAAGATGTTTGTCTGTCTGTCTGTATGTATGTGCATGCACATATATATATATATATACACACATACATACACACCCATGTTTGGTTTAATGTACCTACATACGCATCCCTCAGCACCTGTATACAAACGGGCTACATGCAATACCTACATGCATGCATGCATGCACACATACGTACCTCAGTAAATAGACGATAATCTAGTGCAAGGAACCACTTATGCCCGAAAAGGGTCAATGACTCTTAAAAGCGATTACACTCGTTGAACGTATTACGTGATTGCTGTGTTTACTGGTTGCTTTTGTAGTCTATTGGGTGGGCAGCGAAGAAGAGCCGATTGATTGAGAAGAAGCAATTCCGGCAAAGTGTATGTAACTTGCAGCTCGGCAGATCCTTGAGTTGGTGGCCCTTGGCTGCAAGCAACAGTGGCATGTCAGGTGAATTAGGCCGAACTTGAAGCCATTGATCGCAAGCAGATGCGTCTTGATGAGGTATAGCATTGCTCCTTGGTATGGCGGCGCGCTCTATGTGGTGACTCTCATCATTCAGAGCCGTGGGCGGCATTCAGACCCGGCTGAGCAATCCGTCTGAGGGAACCAGCTGTATTTCGCAATTGTCGCAACAGACCCATCATGCAAATCATTGCTGTTGTTTCAGGGCGATGAATTGCGGGCATGCCTTTGTCCTGAACCCTCCTTCATGCATGCTCTCCCCTCATCCTTATCAGGCGAGTACAGTTCCGATGGTACAACTATGCCTATGTGGCTGCCGCGACATTGTGGCTTGCGCCAGTGCCTGGCCTTAGACAGAGTCGAAATCCGCAGAAGCATGTATGTTTTGTGCGTTCGAACGTGACACCACATGTCTGTCTAGTTACCTGTGTGTATAGATATTCCTTTATCATCCGTTGGTGTCGTGACTTTTCTTTTTACCGTTTTTCGTTCCTAATGTAGGCAAATATGCATACATGCATGCACAGCTACCGGCGAATGCTTAGTTGGGTAGGTGACGTTCGACATTCGTAAAGTTTGGGATTTCAAGCGCCTCGTCGAAGACTTGCAGCTTAGTGTGCTAACCTGCTAACCGTTGCCATCGTCAGAGACAGGGGTGACAATGCTCCACCAACAGCTCACATCTCGGCTAGCTGCGCCGAGTTGGTAATCTTTCAGGCTCAGCGTGCTTGCCCAACAGACTTAGCAGTGCGGGCATGTCTCAGTAGACTCGTCTACTGTCCAGAGATCTTGTTGCAATCGCCCCAGGCTTGCACAGATACTGGCTTTGTGAGACGTCGCACCTCAACAGCCCATGTTTGCGCAAGTCAGGCGATCATACTCTGGTTCTCCTACAAGTTCGACCCAGCGAACAACATCCCGGATGATTTCTAGGCGCTGTCTCAACATACGGAGGTCGAAACCGATTGGGAGCCTGATGCGCCCGGATTCCACGGCCATGTATACAAAATCAGTCAGAATATAGATACGACCGTCGACCGTGTTTCTTCTGGCCGGTGCTGGCCTTAAGGCGGAAATCAAACGCCTGAGTGTTCATTTCCAGGCTTAGTGTGCGAGTGGTGCCGATGGTGCCGGGAGCTCCTGCACAGCGCCAGGTACAGTCGGTACAAGTCGGTACACAGACACTGCGCCCAGTCGAGTGGCAAAGAGACTCGCCAGCATCCACAAGTGCGCAGGTCCAAGGTGGAAGTCACCGGGAAAACGAGAGGTCTGGAAGTTTCGGCATGAGAGCTCTAGAAGTTGGCTTCCTGAAGGAAAGCTGTGCAGCCATTTGCCTGGAGTCAGGGCAGCATCCAACATCAGATCTGACACCATCAGGACAAACGTTCTCATGTTAACTTCAATATGTACAATGTAAAAATACATCTTGAGCACAGCATGTACCTGAGCGATGAGAAGATCGCAGCTTTGCTGCCGGCTGTCGCGCAGATTCCAGAGGCCAGCCTTTGCTGCGGTTTTCGGTTGACCCTATATTGTGGTCGCAGGGAGATCATGAGGCTCAACCTTCGACCTGTGCGCAGTCCACAAGAGATGTGTCGCTGTGCATTTGTAGTGCTCAACGTCTCGTATTGCATTAACACGTCACTTGCCCTGTGGCCAAACGCCGCGAGGTTCCCAAGGCGAAATGCACGAATGCAATACTGATCATCGGAATCCCCATCACAGTTCTTCTCCTGGACATCATCATTGTCGTCGTCGGCATATGTGCGAGTTATTTGCAACCAATAATTCCAAAATGTGCAAGCCAAGCCTGGAACGATGTTTCAAGCCGTGCCAGGTCATTTCAGCTTACGAGGACTGAAGCAGATGCTTTTGGCCAGAAGTTCGGAGAAAGCACCGCAGCATTGTTTGTGGTGGTGTGAGTGGTAGTTTTCCGATTCCGTGGTGGTGGAGGGAGTAGTTGCAGAGTAGTTGTAGTAGTAGTTGTCGTAGTCGTTGTTGTCGTTGTAGTTGTAGTAGTAGTAGTAGTAGTAGTAGTAGTAGTAGTAGTAGTAGTAGTAGTAGTAGTAGTAGTAGTAGTAGTAGTGGTAGTGGTAGTGGTAGTGGTAGTGGTAGTGGTAGTGGCAGTAGTAGCAGTATCAGCAGTATTAGCCACAGTAGTATGCAGCAGCAGTACAAGTAGCAGCAGGAGCAGCAGCGGTAGTAGCAGTAGTCGTGCACGTACTCGTAGTAGTAGTAGTAGTAGTAGTAGTAGTAGTAGTAGTAGTAGTAGTAGCAGTAGTAGCAGCAGTAGTAGTAGTCCGACCTGAGTTCCGAGCATGAGTCGTGATTCATTGCCATTGATCGGGCGTCGGTTTACAGCATGACAAGCTTGTTTGCGACGGACTGCGGAAAGCGTTGACCAACAAGCCCCACTCCAAAATCCCACAACCCTAACTTTGGCAATCGGCATGTTCAGTCCAAAGCTCGAAACCGCAGGCATTTGCCAAGATTTGGGCAGCCTGTGGCTTGCCAGAGAGACACCTTTCGGCAGACCTAGTGGGAGCTGCACCTCGGCTTCCATTGCTCCGTTCGATATACAGTCGTGATCATGTAATGAATTATCAGAACGATGTAGTGTATAAAGATACAAGCAGAAGTGCGCATACATATAGACAGATTTCTGTGCATGGTTGTTGGTGTGCTTGTTGTTCATATCTACATATATATATATGTTTATACTCATACTGGCACCTGCATACCGACACGCGTAGATTTGCACATACATACACTGTGTGTATATATATATATATGTACAAATATGTCTACATGTGTATACAAATATATACACACGGAAATGCATGTGTTATCATTCATTGTATGGTGCATGATCACTACTGTTGAGGATGCATCAATTGCTGGTCCACATGTCGCTGATTTGCCTGTTGCTGTTGGCACTGATGCTATTGTGGTTAAGGTGTGGGATGTTAATGTTTAGGGTTTGTCGTCCGAGGTCCGAGCTTTTTTCTGGTGGCGTCGAGAGTTGAGATTAGGTTATGTTGTTCTAGTTTGGGTTGGTTGAATCCAGAATTTGGCCGTTAAACAACCCCACTCCCAAGCAGCCCAAGCCCCAACACTCCCCGGCCCCTGCTTTCACAGGTCTTCCTCGAGGGTCCGCCGGCACCGATCCTCTCGGCACCTTGAGCTTGGGAAGAGAGTAATAAACGCCTTCATGATTAAAACAAGGCTTGGGGGTATCTTATACCGTACCTATATTGGTAGCTCGCTGAGCATGATTGGTAATTCTTGTGGCTTAAAATGTCTAATGAGGGTCAATCTCGAGGTCTTGATACACTCTGTTTTGGCCTTCTTAGAACAAGTGTTTCCGGTTGTTATGCTGCCTTCTCACGGTGCTCTTGCGTGGGGTTATCTGGGTGTGAAGATGTTAGGTGTTAGGTTTCCGGCTTAAGAAACCGATCGTAATGGTTTTCCACTTCAGTCAATGAAGTCTAGGTCCAGTTTTGTTCCAGAGTATTTAGTTACATATAGCGAAATTAGATACATGGGCTTAGATAGGACCTATTGGAATAAGGTGCGTGCAGAGGAATCATTCAGAATGGTGGAGTCTCAGGTTTTGCAGGGCCTGGACCGCCATGATTCAGAAGCCCGGAGTAATATGAGTAGTAGGCCCAGTAATAACACACGAAAGGCATGTTTAAGGCAACAGCGGGAGAATACCATGCCTCCATGTGAATGTCGAGTCCTGGCATGGGCCATCCAACAGTCGCCGCTAAGGCACGGAAGCGAAGGCGCATTCACACTCCATAACCTTTGCCTCTGACTGCAGCCAGGAACCGAAACGCTTGAGGGCTGCCGACACATCGCTTTTTCAGCTCGTCGGGTCTCCCAGAGTGGAAGGTAGACGGAGGGCCGCGTGTCCATGGTTGCACGGACGTGCGCAGCATCCACAAGGCACGCGGCACGCACACACACACACACAACTCACACACAAGCACATGCACATGTACATCGAGAGGGAGAGAGTGGTTCGGAGTGGGTTGATGTTGCCTCGAGGAGGGAGAGACGTTCTAGCACGGTTAGCTACTCGCTCCAGAGTTTACTTTCTGAGGTTGCGCAACAGTTTGTTTCCAGATTGCTGCCCGGCAAGTACCGCCAGCTGACACCGCACAAACATCCATCATTGCCCAGATTGCTGTCCTTGTCTGAGCTCTAAACTTGCTGATGCAACGAGGCCGTCTAAACCATAGGTTTCAAATTGTCAGCTCGGAAACGGTGGTGATCAGAAGAGGTGGGTGGGGGTGGGTGAAAGCAGAGTTTGCTCCCTTATGTCTCGTGGGCATCTACTATGTCATAGTATTCTCGAGGGAGAATGGGACTATCTCATCGACTGGCTTCGTGGACCTACGAAGTGTAGGGGTTGCCAATCTTTGGACCTCGGACATCGACAAGCTTATTCGTCAAGTTCAGGTGTAGCTCTGTTTCGGGAATCGCCGCAGCATCGCCAGCCGGCAACCCTGAACAGAAAGCACCTGCGCGACTCTTCAGCTTTTTCGAAACACATTCCATTCAACAGGGTATTTGGTAGAAACTAGCATCAGGGCTGCATCTCAAGGTGCATGATAAGAAGAATTGACGCAGTCAGGTCAAGGCAGGCACTGGTTTGGATGATGGCAACTTCAGAGTTTTGGGCTTCAGCTGGGGATGTGGTTGGAATTGGTTGGACATATCATGACATATCCATGTCCGAACCATCGCAATACCTTTTCCCTGTGTGATAGTGTCGCCAGCAACGATCGCAGAGCTTTAGCCTGCCGTCTTGCAAGACCACCCCGCGGCTGGGACGGTTGTGGGAAGGCACAGCGGGGGTAGCTTCGGTGTAGCTTGACGGGGACAACAGAACAGCCGATGCTCCTTCAAAGGCTTGATCGAAACCCAATCTTAATCGTATAAGCTCCAGTTACATCCCTTTGCAACACCTATCAAACACCATAGCTAGTCATGTCACTATCACTATATCGATCGAAAAGAACCCAGAACCTTTTCAAGGGACATCTAGAAGAAAGCAGCACCAACTTCAACAACCAACACCAAAGTTCCAGGTCTTCCTCGGAGCCGATGGTTGCTTGGACATTGAAAGCTTCGAGAAGCTGGAGGCAGATAGTCTTTTGAGGTTCTGCGTTACGGTTTTCCCCTTTCTATTCTAGGCTTCCCCTATTGAACTTGAATAACAGGAGAAGCGTGCCCTTGTCATGAAGGGGACAGTGGTGACCCTGGTTAAGAAGCTTGGTTTTTGGGTGTTGGAGACTTTTGCAGTTTCGGGGTGCTTGGGGCGTTTCTGAGGGTTTAGGGTTTACTTCAGAGCCTTCTATGTCTAGCAATGACGTTCCTCATAGAACAGTCCCCATGTACGTCTATTGCTGTGGCCCTTGGCCAGGTTCTGCTTCAGGGTTCTGAGTTTAGCATTAAAGGTACGTTTTCAGCGAAAGGGTTCAGCGGACTTGAGGTTGAACTCCCGGACGTTGCGTGGGCTTAGGACAATTTAGTTTTACCGGGAGTAAGGTCTCTTGTGCCAGCCATTGGGATTGTGGTTTTCTAGGGTTGAAGCACGGGTGTTGGGTTATGTTGTTTGGCATGCTTTGCCATGCTCTGGAGTTGTTTCCCTTTCATGAGCACTTTGGTGGAGCCCGGTCATGCTGGCATGCGGGAAGCTCATAACCTTCCATTCAACCATGAAGTTCGAACTCGGACCCTGGGCCCCTTTTGGCCCCAAAACCCCCGAGGCTATGGATCAGAGGTCATGCTCGGATGGGAGAGCTGTCAAGGTCATGTCGTGTTGCAGGAGGGTGGGCATGGATCGGACGGTTCGGGGAAAGGCAGTGAGCCGTGGCAGTGACCAGCATGCCCACTGACCGAAAGCCACTCTCTCATGCTCGGCTTCTCTGCATTTTCAATCACGAGATCCATCGAAGGACATGGCAACGCGCAAACACATTGAGTAAAGGCTGAGGCCGTGTGAAGTGTGTACTTGTAACAACTGCGCCTGCGGTTATGCACACACCCTTAAGGGTCAAGTCAAGAGCCGAGCAGTGGAAGGATGCGAAAGCCACTCTGGCCGAGCTCAAAGTTGCCGCGACGAGCGAGGACACTCCGTTCCGGAGATCATTCTGCCTACAGTGGTCTTGTCGTGTTAGGAGAGGCCTATGTTGTTCTGTCGACTCGAAGCACGGCATAGCTGATAACCCCACATGCTGCCCTGCGAGCTGGTTGGGTCTGTACGGAACCGTGGTGAGGCTGCATTACCGGTGTGAGCTAATGCCAGGGCCTAAACAGAACTGCCGAATTGAGAATGTATCCCTGACCATTGACGATGGCTTGAGTCTTAGCAGGTAGCCGCACGGGAGGATTCGGGATGACGATTTTTTTGTACTCACTAGACAATCTCGCTATGATATACTATAAAGACATAGAAGGACAGTAGAAGAGCAACTACACTGCGCACGTTTGTAGGCACGTGTAGTACCATTGAGCAGCACATTATGAAGGTACAAGCAGTTGTATTCAGAAGCAACAATGCATCGAAATGAAAATATGACATATCATATGTATATGTATATATATATATACATATCTATGTATATATATATATATAATATGCATACACATGTACTGTGTGTGTAGGTATGTGTAGCCACTAGCTCACTGAAGTCTAAGTATAGCATGTTTTACATGCATGCAAGTATGCATAACTGCAGACTTGCTGGCAGAGGCAACGTGCGAGCACTTTGTATTACCAGCTGCAGGTTATGCATGCGCATATATGTGCTTCACATCTCTGTGTACATGCATACATGCATATGCCACACACCCACACAGACACTGCTCTACATACATGCGTGCATAGGTGCAGACCTGGATGTGGATGTGCATGCATGCCATATGTGTATACATGTAGGTATGCCTGTTTGTATGCATGTGTGCATGTATGTGTATATCATATGCATGTACGGCATGTGTATATGCAAATATACATACACACAGTGTATGTATGTTTTTTACGTAAGGTGTGCATACATATACTTATGACCGGCATATGGCGATGCCGGGGAGGAATGTGATCTCGATGTTGGTTGCAAATATGCTGCTTCAAAAGCAGCGACAGAAGTAGGAAGGGGTGGGTGAGGACTGACCTCTTCTCCTAAAAGTGTCAATCGTCACAGGGATTGGGGATGGGTCGATCCTCGTGGTTGTTGTCGATGGGTTCTTGCTGATATTACTGGGCAGGATGCCGCACTTTACGAGAGAGCTTCCCACCCTCACAGGGCAGGGAAGAAGCGACCTCACAATTCATTCACATTTCCACACAAAAAGGATGACAGACCCCGACGCGAGCCTCAACCCGGCCACACCCACAGGGGGCCCAGAGACTCCCTACACCCTGCCTGGAATCCCAGCACTGGTGAGGGGCGGGAGGGAATCCTTGATCTTGCGCGGGCGAAGTGCTGTACGAAAAGAATGTGTATGTGTATGTATATATTTTTACATATGTATATGTGTATGTATATATGTATATATATATATATATTATACATATATGTGTGTGTATAGTGATTTGGCATTGTTCCTGTACACATGTATGTGTTAGGTCTATGCACTTCCAGATGTGATACTGCTCTATAGATCTGGACAAACAGATACATACATTGAGCGATTGTAATCCGTTGTGGATTTGTGATCGTTCTACACACCTTCCCTGAAGGGCGGCGGTGTGATCCTGAAGGGCGACGAGGTAGTGGCTGAAAAGCTTGAGCTCAAGTACATGCTGAAGGACTGCTGTAAAGTGGATAGAGATTTGGGCTTTTATTCAGCCTTACAGGCTAATGGAAAGCGCTGCAAACCATCAATGATATGGCTGCTAGGTACATTTTTTCCTCATCTTTCTACCGCCCCAAGCCCAAGTATTTTCAAACCCTCTGGGGAAGTTTCGACCCGCAGAAGGCGGGAGTCAGTGAACAGTGGCTCTAGCAAGGAACAGTAGGTCCAGTAGGTCTTGCCAGTCGCTCAGTCATCAACAAGCTGAGAGAAGACATGACCAGCATCACTCAGAAGCCAGACTTGTCAGACGCTCGAGCTTCACATATAGCAGGATGGGCCACTCGACGAGTGTCTAAACTCCGAGTGAAGCCACAGACAGACTTCAAATCCCTGCGCAGATGCAAACTGCATCCCTCCGTAGTCGAACTCTGAACTCTCATCTAGGCGGTTTGGTTTCTGGTGGCTACTTCTGCAATAGCATTGACTGTGAGGACGATGAGCCTGACTTGTCCTCTAAGTAAAATCGTTTCCGTGTCTTGTGTGTTCAGCACATGGCCTCCCGCAAACCCCGAAGTTAAGTTCCACGCTCCGGTACTGCGGTTGCTGCGCGGAGTAGTCGTGGCCTTTTGGCTTGGCTCGGCCTGCCCATCGAAAGTAGGTGTATCTTAGTGTTGGTCCGGTGTTTTTAATGGGGGGCAGCCGAGGGTTCTGGCCACTTCTCTTGTTGCTCTCAGGAAGATTTTGTGGAGTTCCTCCCAGCCACTTCGACAGCATGTTTCTTCGCTTCGGGTTTGCGGACAACCACTGCCTTTTGCAGTTGCCCAAACTTGCACTGACTGACTCTTGAAGTTTTCACCCTGCCCTGCGACCACCTTTTCTTCATTGCTTCCTGGGATCAACGCTCGGAAGGGATGTCCGGCCTGCTAACCCTAGACAGGCGTCGACGCCGGTACGAACGGTGCAGGCTTTCCCGATCAACACCTGCCAAACCCATAGAGGAGTTCTGGGTGTGCTTCACCAACGATTTGATGCTCTTCGTTAGAAGCAATGGAAATGGCCTCTTCTTTCTATTTTTCGAAGTTTCAATTGCCAAAGCTTATTGGCAGCATTCACTGCGCTGGAATCTACCTGGTTTTCGGGAGTGGCAGTGTTTTAGCCAGGTGGATGAAGGCTATCCATGGTTGAGCCTCGTTGTTCCTGCTTGGTACTTGTATTTCCCACACCTCAGCCACACATCAATTCTTCATGTCCATGCCAGGGGGGTGCAATGTTTGCGTCTCTCAAAACCTACCGTGACAAGACATCAACTCTGAAGCGAGCCTAGCCTTGGTCACTTGCTTTCATGTCATCTGCAGTGGCCATGTCAGCAATACCACATACTGATGCTCGCTACACTTGAGATGCGGGATTGCACTGGGAGGTTTTTCCGGAGGAGAGAATCAAGATACTGTACCTGATGTTAGACCTGGAAGAGCAGCTCACCGCGTGTTTTCTGCGATGTTGGCCTTGGCTCAAGCCAGCTGAGATTCGAAGAGTGCTTGCCGTCGTGACACTGCCCTCCTTGGCATTCCCTCCACCATGGCAGCCGCCGACAGGACCAGGGGTGGTGCTTTGATGGAGTCTCAGGCGGAGCAGGGCTTGAAACTCTTGAAGTCCACGGAGGCTTCCGGTGCAGAGTATGACGTCACTGCTGCGGAAGCATACCGGAAAGCCGTTGACGCCCAGATCGCGAAGCTGGAGATGGAGGCCACGCAGCTCACCGGCAAGGACAACAAGAAGGAGCGCTCCGCCAAGGGCAAAGAGGTTGCAGACCTGAAGAACGAGCACAAGTATGTGGATGCATGCAAGATCGTGAAAGGTTTAGACCCGAAGTTTGGCTTCTTCATCACGAAGGAAGCCGTGCGGCCCGAGATCGCAGTCGCAGAGCCCACTCCGGAAGCTGTCGAGACAAAGCCGAAGAAGGAGCCTAAGAAGGAGAAGAAAGCCGATAGCGCAGGACTGAGCCACGACGAGCTGAAGGAGCTCGAGGATTTGAAGCAGAAGATCATCGAGGAGAAGGCCATTCTTAAAGAAGAGGGCCTCAGCGGGGGACAGATCAACAAGCACGAGAAGATCGTGGCGATGGTCACCCGATTGAACGAGCTCAAGGAGAAGCAGGATCCAGGAAGCTCCAAGAAGGAAAAGGATGCCAAGAAGGACTCCAAGAAGAAGACGCCCCTCAGTGCAGAAGAGCAGAAGGAGTACGCCCAGCTTCAGGGCGACATTGAGGTGTACAAGGCCAAGCTGCGGAACGAGTTCGGCTACAGCAACAAGGACATGAAGGCAGATCCGGATTTGAAGGACATGGAGGCTCGGCTTGCGGCCTTCGAAAAGCGCAGCTAATGAGGCTGATGGGCGAATTCAGTCCTGCCAGCGGCGGTGCATCACGCAAAAACCTGTGTGATTCATTTGCTGGCCGGAGCAAGTATATAGTCTGAGCCAACCTGTGCAAAGGTCACGAATGCCGTGGAACTGATTAAATACCCACCAACGGGAATAGATCTTGTCTACGCAGCATGTTTGACGTTTCGTGCTGTCCCATAGCATAGACCGCTGCTCTACCCATAGCTGGCAATCGTTTTGCTGATTCGGTGCAGCCCAGAAGAGGAACTGCATCACGCCCAACAGTTTGTGGTCTTTAAAGGCGATGGAGTGTAGACCTCGTCATTGTTTGGTTACGCCGCGTTTACGACCATATCCCCGCAGCTCGACACAGTCAGGTCGCGTTTCGTGCATTCCATGCCAGAGATTTCAAGTTTGCTAAATGTTCCTGGTTAGTCGCCATGGCTGCACGCAGCGGAATCCTGGCTTCACAGCTCATGTGCCGTCGTAATGCAGCTCTCGCAGCCAGTCGTGCACATGGCGATTAACCACAGCTCTCGCATGCTAGCGAGCAGTACATTGCAAAGCTCCTTTGCGGGCAAAAAATGTTGCAGGTGGCTTGGTCCGCAGTGCACTCGGTGATGAGATAGCAACTCGAGGAGGGTGAATGCCTTTCAGACGACAATATGGGCCGTGTTTTGGGATTTCTGGTGAGGAGATGCGCTTTACACCACAAACCTGAAACCTAAACTAAACCCAGTCACACGTACTCAGACGCTTCTTCGGATTGCCCAAGAAATGGAAAGCTCAGGGACGATGCCACCAAAATGCACGATTCGATCTCTGCCTTGGTGAGAGTGCTGGTGATGAGAGTGGTGTCCCCATGGTGTGCCCATATTCCCATTCTGTTTGCTTTGGTGCTTCCGTCTGCTGCATCCATGCCGAGAGTTGCCAAGATCAATCTTTTTTGGCTTGGGCGGGCTTCGGCTAAATAAACTAGCGAACACACCAACCTAACAGAAAACAGCGGTGAAACAGGAGGCGCCTATCAAAATGTGCTGCGGCCTTTAGCCTTGGTCGACAGTAGCCGTTCAGCAAACTACCCGGCTACAGCATTCTCAGGCCAAGGTGTTCATGTGCTGTTCCAAGGTTTGCCGTCTTCGCCGCTGTCTTGTGTTTGTTGTGTTTCGTGGTTAGCTGTGGACTGAGAGCAGCTGACGCTGTCGACAAAGCCCGCACAAGCCAAAACACAAATCCAAACTCTTTAGCAATCCAGTCCGCCGTCGAAGTCATGATGCGTCCATTCTTGAAGAGCCGACACCCACAACCGCAAGCTATGAATCCAAGCCTGCGCCTGCTTGGTGCGAGGGTTCGAGTCGAAACCCTAGCCTTACTTGAGCGCTCAGCTCTAAACCCTTTTAAAGGGGCCTAAATAATTACCAACACTATTCTAGCGATTCCGCATTACAACTATATTATAATGGGCCCCAAAGCCCTGTTCTAGTTATTAAGCACCCCGTATTACGAGACTGGAACCTGGAACCACAACTAAGGAGGCGACAAAAGAGCCGAAGGTGGTCACAGTCAGCGAGGAGGACGAGCTCAAGGCCCGTGGTTCGGGGGACGGGGGCGGGCGGGGGGTTTCGGGGTTTGTAGGCTTTGCATGGCTTGCGTTTCTTTCTTGGCGTGCAAGGGTATCAAGCTTTGCGAGGTCGTTGGGTGGGGTGAGTTCAGGCTGACTTTAAGCTGTAGGGTGCATGAAATTGCGTGAAGCTTGTAGGAGTAAAGGTTTCCGTCTGGTCGTCGCCAAAGCTGGGGGTTCCTCCGAAACAACGTGACCCTCAAGCCTGTGTTCTTCCGTCAGCAGCGCAGACCCTTGGGGGTTGAAGTTGAATGCCGCATGGCGCTTTGAGGCATAGAAAAGCTGTGGCCCGGGCTGAGGCAGATGCCAAATTCTTTTCTGAAGCTTACTCCGGTCGCGTCGGACTCCTCGTCATTACTGCCACATCCGTTAATGAAATCGTGTTGTGAGTTTTTGTTCTGTTATGACTACATACAGCCTATGCTCTACTGTTTCTGTTTGCCTCTTGCTGATGTAGTCACACTTCTGTTTGTGTTAGCTTCATGGACTTCATGTGGACAATATGAACGGTTCTCTTTCAGCTTGTTGAGGTCGTCGTTATAGCAGTGAGTCTAACAGCTGCAAAAAAAACAGCAGCAGCAGCAGCAGGGGAGCAGCAGCATTGGCAGTAGTCGCCGTCATCGTCGCTGCAGTCGTCGCAGTGAGTCTAACAGCAGGAGCAGCAGGGAAGCAGCATTGGCAGAAGTCGTCGTTGCAGTCGTCGCCGACGCTGGTGTTGTTATAGTACGCTTGGTAGTTGTTGTAGTCTTGGCGCTGGTTACTACAGTATTTAAAGTTGTAGACGCAGCAGGAGCAGGAGAAGAGGAGGAGACATTAAGCATGTCTGACTAATATGCTTGTGATGCCAATTTTGAATCAGGGCTTGCAGCAAAATCGCCTCCAAGCTCGTTGATGCACGACCTGCACCGGGCGCCGAAAGACAGGTGGAGCAAATGAGGGATACCGGCCGAGAGCATCACACGAGCCCACTACGACTATGTCTATGTGATGTTGCATGTATGCAGTTTTCAGATGTGGGATCCCTTCATCGATGCCCAGTGTGAGCATGGCACCCCAGGATTGGTGACTGAAGCACCGGCAACACGACACCTCAGCACTGCAAGTCAGACAACACTCCACATGATTTTAGACTTACATAGCAAGACTCAGCTTCAACGCGAGATCACAGCTCTGAAATCCGACCGAAAGTACATCCCCCGGCAAGGCCATTGAGATAGCCGCTCGGGAGAACTTGGATAGGCCACTGGGCAGCAAATCCGTGGCCGGGTACGCTGCATTCATTCTGACGTTCCTGCTTCGTAAGGCGGTGAGAATCCTAAAACTTGAACCCTCAAAAGCTTTAAAGCCCCAAATACACGGAAAGGAAAGGCATGGAAAGGGTAAGTGCAACATCAGCGTTCCTGCTCGTTAATATGTGCATGCATGCATGCCTATCTGTGTCTCTATGTATACTTGCATGTGTGTATATATATATATACACGATAAATTATGTACGTAAATTATATGTTTTTACCTTATATATATATATACATACACATGTACAGCTCTGCAAATCTGCAAGGCGCCATCCGATGCTCCCGCCCCTCCTAAACTCCTAGGCCCGGCAAGCCTGGCTCCGCTTAGAGTAAACCCCATAAACTTGGAACTCCCGAAAGTTGGAATATGGTTTCATGGTAGGATACCCTATAATTTACCATAGAAGGGTTAGGATAATCATATTCCAACTCTCTGGCTTTTACCTTAAACTTGGAAACCGGATAAAGGCCAAATAGTGCTGAGATTCCCTATACATTACTCTTAAGGATTGAGGCTATTGGGTTTCCAACTCTTGGGCTTCTACTGAACCCTGAGCCCCAAGCTGTACAGCTTTTACACCTTAATAGAGGGGCCTAAACAACTACCTATGCTGGTTTTGGGGGGGGTCCTCACTATAGTTATCGAATAATATATACCCCAAACCCTTTTCTAATTGTTAAGGCCCCTACATTAATCCAAAAATCGGGTGCTCTTCTTTCAGTTGTTACATGAAACGAGGGATTACGTTATCATTTGATGTTGTAACTGATGTTGTCGCATGTCCTCATGGAGCGAAGTATGTTTAAGTATAGCTTCTACAACTACATCCTGATGTTCTAGTCTCACGAGTTAGAACCGAGGCTGATCACGCTGGCGCCTGAGATTGGCAAGCTCAAGGCCTTGCTAACCCAAGGGACAACGCAAGCATTGCTTGAGCCTTCGCTGAACGCTCAGCTTATGCAAAACTTGCAAGGCCTGGATAGCTCGGAATATCTCAGATTCCACCAGACCTTGCGAAATGGTGACTCCAGAGGAGCCAGAAGTTAGGTCCGGTGCGTCCGACAGCGCATAATTAGGGCCGACAAGCGGGACGGACTGTTATCGGAGGCCAAGGGGGACGCCCCAAGTCGCTCACTCGCTCACTCATTCGCCCACTACTCGTTGCAACGAAGATCGAGCTGGGATTGACGAGATGCTTCGTGTTTGGTTCATCTGTGATGCTCTAGTGGCACGTTCTCAGCAAACGGTTGTGGAAAGACGAGGCAAGGAATTCGTCCAAGATGTCAGCTGGTTGCTGTGGAAATGCAGGAGGGACCAAGCGCTGCGTTTCTCACGAGCATTGCCATGCTTCTGTCAAGCCCAGCTTTGCATGCGCCATGCCCGGCTTCGATCCCCAGACTAGAAATATGACAGGATCTGGAGATCAGCTGCTCTCAGGTTTGCATTGTCAAAGATCCTGCGCAGTCGGGGACTGGCCTCGAAAGCTCCGGCCAAATCATTCACGTAGGTAGGAGGAATGTGTTGGTGAGCTCGTGAGGCCCGTTTTCATGCTTCCTCAGCAAAGTATGCAGAGTGCGAGAGTCGAAACCGCACATACCCCAACCTCTCCACCAGAGGCTACATGCTGCCTTGTTTCGTCAGAACGTTTTAATGTCAGAAGACTTTGCTTCTAAGGTTTGAAAATATGTAAGGTTGGTCGAGGGAACTTGACATTAACCTGTAAATGCAGGCCTACTACGCAGAGAAGGGCCTTGAGAAGCCAGAAGTTGTCATTGGGAGACCGTCCGAAGCGCTGCAGGACGTCGGCGGGGTTACATACAGGTTTGTCTATGGTCTTCGAGTTTGGGCTTGAAAGGTTAATTCGCATGCTTGATTTCCGGGTTCCGAGCGGCCTTGAGTATTTGGGATCTTGGGGATTATGTTCGGGCAGCTTCTGAAGCATTGGCAGGGCTGTTAGATGCGAGGGGCGTTGATGCCGTGATCCGCATGACTGCCACGACACCACACACAGGCGGGTAGGGGGCCGGAGCATAGCAAGGGGCAGGGTGGGGAATCGGTGACTAGCCCTGGATGACTCATACAGTGTTATTGATAATTTGTTCGCATGAAATCACGACAAAGAAGAACTAACAGTACATGCATGCGTTTATACATGCGTAAGCATGTTTTCACAGATGCACGAAGTAATGCACAACAATGCACATGTACCCAGAGAGAGAGAGAGAGAGAGAGAGAGAGGGAACTGGGCCACTGGGGCTTGAAAGCAATAGCTGGCAACACCCGGAGATCAAATTCAGACAATGCAATTTTTCATGGTTTCAGGCTCTTTGGAAACCTCTGTGTCTCGGAAGATTTCATCGCTTCCGGTGAGAAAGGGGAATCTCACCGAATGTCGGCCCAAATTTCATGAACCTATTCAATCATCATGGCAGTGTTCTCAGTGCCAGAGTATTAGTTGAGCCCTTTTCAACGTACTTGCGGCTGGCACGCGGCTGAAGAAAAGATGAGACGCAGAAGAAGTGTTCAGATATGTCTGTGCTTTGCCAGCAGGTGTTCTCCGAGCTGTTTCCCGAGTACGTGAGACTCGGCGGGTGCGTCGCCGAAGCCTGATCCGGAGTTTTAGCTGTGGCAATGCTTGGACACGACACGTCTGAACTCGTTTGAACTTATCCTTGGGAATGCCAAACTGCATCTTGATTTGCAGACGTGCCGAGCATGTGCATTGCTTGCAGCCCATGGCCTATTGCTTCTCTCTCTACTTGCGCATGGAAAAAGGACAGTGGGCGGTTTCTCTTCCGAGGAAGCGTAAGCACGGAGCTACCCGAAGCTTGCAATCGCAGTTCTTCAGAGTTCCAACCCATCTAAACCCTTCGAATCGTCAGGGTTTTGTGGGCAGACACACACACACACACACACACACTTGCACACGCGCACGCACATGCATCCCTGACACTTCATCCCTAAGAACCCACCCTCTATGTAATATTTGAACCTTGAGGCCCATTATGAGAGTTTTTCGGGGGTTCTTAGAAGCGGATGCTATCGGTTAGGGTACATGTTGGGGTCTCTGATTGTCTGAACCTCTCTTGAGAGCTCAGGAGAGGAACCTGGGTAATGGGCTTCAGCACATTTCGGGTTCTGGTGCCTAGGGCTTTTGGGCCGTTAGTCTGTCAGGTGTCGCATTCACGCACGGCCGATCCGATTAAACACCCCGCCACCACACTGGCGCGTTCGGGAACGCGGGGGGGTCCTGATTTTTCCTGTATGCGGCAGCTTACAGTAGACGACATGTACGGCGCAGCATAGCCACAGGACCTAGAACCAGGCCTCAAGATTTGGGTACGCTGGTATACAAGGTCCAGGAATCTTGCAACAACTAGGTTGTAGTGAAGTTGATGTGCACACGAGCACACAGACCTCGTCTGGCGCGTCGGAGTTGCGAGAGCATAGCAACAGCCAACAGTGGGTTTTTGGGGTACCTTGAACAAAGTCTGAGTCTACCCCGCAGAAACCAGTTCGTTGCCTGGGCAGCCTTTGCCTTCGGTTTCCTTCGTTGGCGTGTTCATCAAATCGCCGATGCGGGGATTATGATTGCATCAGATAGCCCGACACGATATTCTCAATAATGCACATGTGGTATTCGCATTCTCACAGGGATCGCCCGGCTCAGAAGCTCTTGACGGTTTCTGACATTGGCTAAAGCGGCGAAACCTTTCCGAGGATCTCGACGGTTGTTAAGGCCAGACTCCAAATCACCACCCCAAACCTCAAAGACCTAGACGGGCCCCAAGCCCACCGCTTCACCCCCAAAACGAAAGCCCTCATCCACATCAACAAAACGAGCCACAAACAACCCTAGACTCTTGAACCTTAACCCATAAGCCCCAAGCTCTTTCCAGCACAAGAATAAAGCCCTAAACCCTTGAACTTCAACCTGAACCCTAAACCCCTAGAGGCCCTAGTGACCTCTCATCCCTCGCAAAGCCATGTCGGATCCAGCCGTTTGCTGCACAGAGCTCGAGCTTCGGAAAGCTCTGGAGGCCGGCGGAACCGTTAGAGTCGTCCATGTACCTTCAGAGTACTTACTTGTGCCTGAGAGGATTCCTTTTGTAGGTGCTTTAAGGTCAGATTGTCTTCTTTATGAGCACACGGACAAGCAGAGGAATTTACTACAGCTTACGCTCCTGTGGAGCTCATGCGATTGTTTATGTGCGATCGGGCTTAGAGAGACCAATCACCTTCAGGGCGAATGCCGTTAAAAGGTTTAGGCATGTTGTGACTGGCAAACGCTGCGTCCTGCTCGCGTCTGCAAACCATGAAATGCTCCTGCACAAGGCAGTCCCATGCAGTCTCGTTTGATCTCATATAAAGGTCCGAGCGGTTAGTACCCTTTATCATCTATTCATACGTTATTATACAAATTAAGTTTACCCCCAAAGCAACCTTTCACAAATGTGTAAAACCCTATGTTAGTTTTCATCACAGTCTGTTTCTGGCCTAGGTCACCCTAGATGCTTCAATCCAGGGGAAGATTGGTGCAGTGACCCATCATCCCTCCTTCGCAGGACGAGGGATGTCCGAAGCTTATCTTGAAGGGTGCAAAGCTTGCAGCTGAAGCTGCGGAGGACAGCCGTTTCGGTGATCTGGGGGGGCGGGGGAGGGGGGCTCTTGGAGCAAATCGACTACTCGCTGCAAGCCATGCTCAGTGCTTTCGTGAACCGGTGATTCAATATTCTGCATGATAGGCCGCAGGATCTTTCAGTTCCATGTCGCGAGCATTGAATATAAGTAACCTATGTATATGCATGTTCATATATGAGTTACAGATTCTACGCCACATCAGGCTTGCATCGCCCTCTTCAGCTTGCAGCGCATGAGCCACCTGACGGACCTCGTCCTGGAGGAAGATGGTTTCCCTCTCGGGTTTAGAGCTTTCGGTTTAAGCTTCTGTGTTTTGGGTTATTCGTTTATGGTTGCGCAAGGACCTGTTGCCGGCAAAACCCCACGGTGCGTTGCGAGTGTGCAAGTCGAAACCTTCTGCGGAAAGTTGGCTAAGCCATGCTAAGCCTTGCAGCACAAAGCCCTACAACTTTTAAGCGTCATGTCTCTGTAGAGCACGACAACTATGAATCCTCTAAACCCTAAGCTTGATAGCCACGACTCGAAGCTGTAAACTGAACAGCCCTGAAGCTGGCACCATGGTATGCAGATAAACCCGATATAAGACGGCCTTGTACGTCCCATCAACCCTAGAAGCCCTCAAGCCCTCAAGCGCGAAAGCGCACATGGACGAAACCTTCAATCCTGAAACCAAAAACCGAACACGTCCCTAAACCCTAAAACCTTGATCGAAATACTATAGTGGCCAAAATAAATACAAATACTATTTTGGGGTTCGTTATCATAAATAGTATAATGGGCCCTAGTCGCCCCTGCAAGGATCTCCCTCTTCAGCCCAGCAGCCTCGAACACTTGGCGCAGGCTGCAGCTTGTTTGTAAGGCGGTTGGAGCCTCCAGCAGTTGGTTGGCAGGTCGTTAGTTACTATAGGGACCTCAAAAAACTACCAATGCTATTTTGGTGGGTTCCTCATTATATTTGTAGTATAACGAGCCCCTAGACCCTATTCTAATTATTATACCCCTATATTAGGGTTGGAGCTTCAGGCGTTGAAGTTCGAGGTAACGGCCAGGAGACCTGAGGATCTGCTGCTTGGTTCAATGTTCTGTCAGGAAGCCTCCGTCCCTACCGGGACTTTAAAAGAACCGATTTCCTTCAGATGCTGTGCAGTCAGCACAGAGGTCGAGTTGGCAAAAGATGGCGAAACCTTAAAACCAAGGAGTTGCGTAGGGCCAGGGCCTGTTGCCAGCTCAGGTAAGTGTCCCTGGCCAGATGGCCAGGACATCAGGAGCCCATGAGGTCGAGGCAGAGGAGGAGATGGATCTGGACTTGTGATTTGGCTGAAAGCTGCTACCATTACTACACGGTTTTGCACCTCTTCTTCTTGGTCGTTGCCTCGTTGCTTCGCACTGATGAGTGTGGCGATTGTCGTCAATGTCCTTGCTGCTATTTGTCCTCTCCGGCTCGCTGGATGGTGTCATTTGGGCTCGAACGAGTTCTGCCGGGTGTCGTGTGGCATCGGTAAGAGCGCGGTCTAGCTGAAGGCTGCGGGAAGCTGTTTTTCTTTTGTGGCTGGCGTGAGAAGTGGCGTTCTGAATTTGGTGTCATGGTACACCCTGCCGATAGCAGTACAGGGATATGTTGCACTGAATGTGATCGTGGGGATGACTAGTCGTGGGTCATCCAAACAATGAACACAGGCAGCCGCTAAACGTTCCGGCTGTCTCCCACCGAAGCCACAGATTCCCAGTAGAAGGCTGCCCGAAATTCCTGATGCATAGTGTCCAAGATTCCAGTAACTCACATCCGATTCTGCGCAGCGGGAGAGTAGTGAGCCTGCTCGCAGCCTAGTGCAACGCAAGCTCAGGCCTCCTGAACCCTCGCAGCCCTCGTCCCTGGACACCCTACTTTGCACAAAATACCCCAAAGCCCGACACAAGGTTTGGCGACAGTGTCGAGGATTTGGAGGCCTCTTTGCTCCCCAGCCACGGCTCGGAAAGAATTTTAGGGCTCTGTTAGTCAGGGTTTTAACCCCATAGACCCTGAAGCTTTAGGGCGTCCATGTTCACAGAGGTTCAGATGCAGCACAGGGTTTTTGGAAGGGTGTGGAGGTTTGCTCTGAAGTTCTAGGAACTCTTCTCCCACACATAAGTTCTCGTTTACATAATTCGCAGGTACGTACATGCATACATGCTCTCGCGTCCCGGGCCGCCACCCCTCCCCCGCGCATGGTATCCCCCCCACCCCTCATGCCCGCCCCGGCCCCGCACCTGCCCGCCCCTCACCTGGTGCGCGGATCTGGGGTGTCGCGCTATGCCCTGCCGTGTGCGGAAAGCAGCAATTGGCGCAGTAGTTTCCAGCATCTGACATGAATTGCAATGCTGAAACATGAGGGTTGTACGGCGATAGTAATGGTGGCAGATATTCTTTTCGTAGTATTAATGATAAAGATGACGACGACAAGGATGATGTTGAGCATGGGTTGATTGTGGACCCATGTCCCGGTCTAGAGCAGCAGAACATCATGAGCAGTATCACCGGTGCCACAGCAAGAGGGAAGACAAGGAGTAACACATAAGAACGTCGCGGCAAAAAGGGTACAAAGACAGGCCCCACACCACAGGGGGAGCGGGGGGAAGGGGGGCGGGTGGGGGGGAGGTGGGCGTGGCAGCCCAGCATCATACATGCATACGCACCTACATACAAGCATACATACATACATACAGTCACAATGCAGGCAGACAGACCGACCTACTTACCTGTCGACGGATCGGGCAGCCGACCGACCGACCTACTCACCTACATACCTACCTGCCTAATTACGTACATATATATATATATACACATATATCTATTTATCTATCTATCTATCTAGACATGTATACATGTATACATTCTTCATACCTGCCTTTCTTCACAGACTTATCCTCAAGCCCGGATAAATGAACTGCCGATCAGAAACGGGTGGATTTGAGCGCCCGCGAGTTTCGGG